GCCATCCTTTTTATTCTTCGTTAGAACTGGTCACTCATTTCTCAAAACAAATTACAGAAACACAAGCAAGAAAGGTTACCTGACACAGAGTAAATCTTTCGGGAACGCGCATTGCTTTGATCTGTAGTCTGAATATCACTTGTTAATGTAAACACTACTGTCCTTGTTCCTACTGAAGAAAGCGTCGCTGGTGGGATCACATTGCCCGATCGTGAGTTCGCGACTAAGGAATTCCCCCATTCGTCTTGCAGCTTTGTAGCCAAATTCATTACACGGGTGCTTTTGTGGTCCTTGTTAGCAGTCGTGCGCAACAAATTTCATCAGCTAAGCAGACTACTAGTACAATTAAAATCAAAGTGAATCAATCAAGTGAAGCCCAGTTTTTTCAGGTGATATCAGGGGGATTTTTCATTAAGAAGCACTTGACCCAGGAGACTTTGCCTTGTCAAATTCCCCCACCCCTGGGGGAAATTGTTACCTTTGAACCGCCCATTTTAGATTCCCGCTAGTTGACCAGACGTCCTACCCCATGCCCCCCAGGGGGAAGCCGATGACATGCGCATTACATGCAGTTATATAATCATCATGCATGTATCAGTTACAGAAAACAATTACCAGTTGCATTACCTGGTCACGGCTGCGCCACTCGAAAATCGCACGATTCCGAAAAAATCTTAAATCTTGAAAAGACAATTATTCAGCGACCTATTTACTATTTATTTAAGTCTTTCGCAAAAAGGACAAACAGCCAACAATTTTACGCTAAAATATTAACTACAAATATTGATCCCTAACTAAGTTATTAAATTGTATTCTTCTCAACTACCTATAGTTAGTACTTTGTTTTAACTGCAATTACCTTTTTGTCTGGATGTAAATTGTATTCTCCACTATTCATACCTCACTGTTATGTAATTAGGTATTCTTTCATACAAATACGCGACTAAAAAAATTACAAATAAGTAATGATAATAGGACTGAGTTGAGTATAATTAAGGGAGTAATCAGGCCAGTAATTTAAAATTACGAGCCCGAATAACCGCAGGAACTTCCTAAAAACTGCGATTTTTCAATCATATTGCATATCGCCCATTTTACAATTAAGAAGTTGGATCGAATTCCTTCAGTTCGTCGATTATCTCCTGTATGGTTGATCTCGCCCCAGGCTCTCCTTGCATGCATCACCGCACCAGGCCACGAAACACACCGTTCGTTACAAGCACCACTTGTTCGTTACGCCTTTGAGGATCTGGAAGTTGTCTGATGCACATTTCGCAAAGAAGAGCACCAAAGCTGTTGACATCAACCTAACAACAATAAAACATAATTTGAGGAAGTCAATATTGTTCAAAAATGCACTTTATTTGAGTGTCAAGGTATTTAGCACAAGAGTACTTATTCGGGACAATATTCTCAGTTACTGTAAGACCCTGAGTATTGGTCCGACCCCGGGAATCGAACCCTCGACCTTCCGCTCTTCAGTCAATCGCTCTACCGACTGAGCTAATCCTGCCGCCGTTGGTAAACATCTAAAGAGGTTTGGTTTTTATTACATGCGTCGCAGACGTAATCTAACCCCGGTTATTAATGTCTGCGAAGCAGCGCCGATAGGCCTTGTTCTGGTCCCCTATGGAAGTGTGAAGTTTGAAGTTTGAAGTTTTTTAATTCATAAACACATAGCAGTTCGAAAACTGAATTGCGTATTTACGTTACAAAAGTTACATTATAGATCTAAACATCAACTAATCTATCTTAATAGAAAGGAATAAAAAAGCTAACAAGAGATGAGATGCTAAAAAAAGTTATCGAAATACAAGCTGCGAAATTCGAAAACTCGAACCTATAAGCTAGTTGCTTTAAAACATGAAAAGATAAGAAAGCTAAACTGAACTTAAAACGGTTCGTTTTAAAACCTGGCATGTTAAAAGCTCGCGCGCGCCTTAATAGGCTGATTTAGCAACAGAACGGGAATGTCTGTTGACGACTGCGCGCGCAAATCAAACAACTGGATTGTTCAATGGCAGTGCAGCAAATTGGGTACCGGAAGTCGAGTTTACACCTTTCTGCGTGCTTACCCGTCGTCAAATGACGTTCCTGTTCTGTTGCTAAATCAGCGTAATGAATAAGTAGATTCGTGCGGTGCAGGTTATAACTTATAAAGGCGGTGATTGTTGTCATTTACAATTGTGTGAAAAAGTGAGTCACATATTTCGTCATGGTGGGTTGGTAATTCCTCAAAGTTCATAATAACAAGAGCCTCATGATAGATAACACCGGGGCAGATGATGGACATTGCTCTCTTCTGTATACGTTCCAATTCTTGCATTAAATATTTGGGCAAAATTAAGTGAAAAGCCGGTATTGCATGGTCCATAATTGAACTAATACAACTATAGTAGAAGAGCCCTAAATCAGTGCGAGTAACCTTAGCTCCCTTAAGTTGTACCAAAAAATATATTCTCTTAGAGGCCTTCTTAAGAATTTCATTAATATGGATATTCCAGGTGTTTCGAATTTCCTTACAAAATGATCGGTAAATTGGCTATGGCTTCTTTAACAGGCCTATCATGGCGCGTACTAAAATCCTGGTACACAGGTGGAGGCCTAGCCTCCCACGCAGACGTTTTTAGGGGAGCTTGTTTTTCATCCCCCCCACAAACGCCTGCTCAACCGTAAACAACATTCCTTTCTCATTGTTTTATTTGCGCGGTAAGTGACCAGTCAACAGTTGTGCAATAAACTGTTGACGGGCTAAACGCGACTAAAACGTGACCCTAGAGTCGTTGTTTTCCTTCTTTTCTTTTTTTCGCTAAGGTTATGCAGTGCATGGAGTATTCTAAAATTTGACTAAATCTTATTTTTGCCGCTATGAATCTAACATTTATTAGAGGTCCACAAAGCTTTCTCAGTGTTTCATTAATTACAGATTACCTTGCGGTCAAGGTCAACTTTCCAGAATTTGGAAAGTACAATGTGATTGGCTAAGCATGGGAAAGGAATGTTGTTTTCGGTTGAGCAGGCGTTTATGGGGAGAGATAAAAAACCAGCTCCCCTAAAAAAGCCTGCGTGGGAGGCTAGTGGAGGCCTAGAAAAAAAAATTTGGGCGCTGTTTCGCAGACGTTACTCACCGGGGTTTGATTACGTTACGTCTGCGGCCCAGTCTAGATTTTCATTGCAGCGACATTATTCGGGGCAGTTGTTCACCCCAGCTGAACTGAGTCCGCTGAGACCCAAACCGGAAAATTACAGTTGCCGATAAACACTGAGGTCCATTTAGAGGTACAAAAGCTCTTTAATATGAGGATCTCTCAGCGGAATTTAGAGCAAACATAGCGGTTATACAGGGACTGTAGGCAGACAGAAAAAACCCTTTTCAAATAACATTTTTCCAACCTTTATCAAAAGGTATTTTATGCATTTATACACCAATACATTCCCACGGGGACATCTTTTAGGCGTCTCGTTATTTAGATAATCTAATCTAATCTGCACCAGAACCAATTCACCAATGAGATGGTCTAAATGAGGTTGACTGATAACTTACAAGCGTAGGAGCGGGTAGAATTCGAGGGCGCGAAAATGCGGTCAGAGCCCAAGGGAGCTCATAGAAGAGATGATTGAAATTTCGCCGTTATAAAAGAGCACAATTAAGACCAGATTTAGGTGCACACCGATGAATTTGGTTAATTTTAAACATTGAGCTAAATATACGCTGTAGTGGCAAAATCACTGCCAAAAATGGCAGATATTTGACTAAATTTGAACAGATATACATGTATCTTAATATATAGATTTAGCCAGGACTAAGAGCGAAGCTGTCGATAATATTTATAGTTTGTTCAAACAAAATATAAAATCTGGTAATGCTAGCGGCGAAGGCAACGCCGGAGAACGTGAAAGATAACAATAGGTCTAATTAGCAGATTGTACATTTTTTTGCAGTTGTTTTGCACGACTACAACGTGCTGAAACTTCTTAGTCACATGTTTTATTGAGAAAATGTCCTACGTTTTCTCCTTTACTTTTTTCTCACTGCCGCTCATTTTCACCTTGCATTGGTGACCGCTGGCATGTCTCATTTTGTCAAAAATATCTTCTTCGTTTTTTATCTCTCGCTCTAGATCTCTGTCGCCGTATTTCTCGTTGAGCTTCGCAGGTCTGCCGCCTACTTTCTCTTTTTCTCTGTCTTTCTCTTGCTCTAAATTCCAAATTTGTGGACATGACAATTATTCTGAGGTTAATAATTTAGAAAATACGGATACAGAGACAATCTCCGCTTTTCGACTCTTTTGTTGTCTCTGCTTCACAAGATGCGGGTGGCTATGCGATTTCCTGTCAAAAAAACCTCGAGTTGCATTTGGGTTGCCATACCTGTTTATTGAGTTATTTTACATTGGTATGCCTGTGGTGCGGACGGACGTTCGGTTGGTTGGTCGGTGGGTGTACGGTCACGTGATTACCAAATTTCCTCGGATGGGTAGTTTACCACATTTTCTTACCCATGGTGCTCCGCTGCGCGCGCTACGCGCGCGAGAGCCCCGCTATTATCAATTTTGGTCATTTGTATGCAGCTTTCTTTTCATCCCAGCTGCATGTGGTTGAGAATTTCACACTGTACCTTACAAGCGAATGAGTATATTGAGTATATTGAGGTTTCTCGGTCTTTGTGCGGCTTTGAATCGCATGGTGAGATATCAATGACAGTGGTCTTGCATGAAGCTGCTTAGTCACTTCGCGTCAGTCAATAGAAATAGATCCTGACACTCGGTTATTCACGATACGATCATGATTTTGTTACTAAGGCACCAAGTAAGAGCACAAGAATGTTAGCCGGGCTGATCAAATTCAGTTCTTAGGAAACGAGTTAAAAGTTGTTTCTTTAGATCAACTGTACTAACGTCAAGTAGTTTTGCTGCTCGTCAAGTTGTAGAATAGTGAAAGTATTTTTTAAAAAATGATACTTTCATACACAAGCAAGATAAAACGAACGAACGACGTTTCAGTGTCGTCATGACGCTAAATTTCAAGTTCACAATGTTGAAACTAAGCTATCAGAAATAGCTGCCTAACGATTAACGTATAAAATTATGCAAGGTCATACAAATAGTTTGTAAGAAGTATTTATCGAGAGACAGCGTACTTACTCTGGTAAAGGCTTTCTACACGAGCCGTATAGATTACTGTGAATTAAAGCTTTTTGTATGGGCCTCCCCAAAGAAAAAATAGCTAAGTTGCCACGCATGCAACTAGATTATTAATTAGATTATTAACTAGATTATTAGCTGCCACTAGATTATTAATGGTTTTAGGAAGTATTCTGACATCATTCTAGTACTTAACGAGTTACACTGGCTACCAGTGCAAACGCGCATACATTTCAAGATTCTATTGTTAATTTTGAAAGCCATTCACGGCCTCATACCTGCACATATCAGCAATATTCTAGCTGTGAATTATAGGTCCTTGTATAATCTTAGTTCCACCTCAGGCGTTTTATTAAAAGTAGGATGATGGAAATACTGGGCGGGCGCGCAATTCAGGAAGCAGGGCCACATTTGTGGAAGAAGTGTCGATTGTGAATTTTACAAATGAGACTAACTCGCAGGTAGCTTTAGCTAATAGACTGAGGAGGGTGGGGAGACTCCTATTATAATTGCTCACTATTGAATTTGTAGAAAGTTTCAAAAATTCAATCAGCGCATTTCTCTTTGGCAATTTTGAGGTGGTGGTTAAATCCATGAACTTTATATAGCTCTTAAGGTTTGCATTATATCATATTATTTATTTTCTTAAGATTTGAACATACTGAAATTGGTTGAAAAACAAGGGTTGATTTTACTGCACGAAATGTTGCTAATTAGGGAACTGACGATACCTCTTAATGTCCAGTTGGACGCAATTCGAGCCAAAATATTTGCTACACATTGACTAATTTTTACTCGTTGATCTTCAGCCAACTTCCTGGTAGTTTATAGTAAAAATTCAATGGCTTCATGACGACGCCAAAACGTCAAATGATTTGATCTTCATTGCTTTTTGTCTCTTTATATATTAGAAAACCCTTGCTAATAATATTTTGATAGGAAATTTTGGCCAATTTCGTATGTAATACAGTCTTTAAGCAGAAGCATCCGCTAGCCATTCTGTTAATTATATCAAGGAGTATGCTCAGAGGGGCGGAGTTCCCCTTAAATGATAACATCTGAAAATTTGGTTCCTGGAGAGAGGCCATAATCCCGAGGGGCCATTTATAGGAAGTTGCTTCGTTTAAAACAGTCTGTAAAGCTAGAAATTCCTCTAACAACGGGCAGGTGAGTTTTTTAAAGTGTTTTAAGTATAAAATTCATGGCCGCGGGATCGGTCACTTGAATGAATAATATGCTGTTTTAGACAATGAACAAGAAGTTAGGAAAAGGAAGACTTACTTTTGAAAAATTTACTTCTTTACCATAGTAAGAAATTTTAAAAGTAAAAAAGAATCATAATTATGATAGTAGTGATATAGGGTTATTTTACTCCTGTTTGGTACCTTCCCCTGCCTTCCGTATGCCTTCTCTTTATTAATATGTGTAAGTGTCGTCCCTCATACAAATTTAGTTCCTTCCTGCATATTAATTATGTGCCTAGTCAGTGTCTAGCTAGCTGGGTAAAAATTTGTTCCTCCAAACTAATTAAGTGCCTTCTTCCATTTGTAATGAGCGTTTCTCTACTACAATAGGTACAATAGGCTTGCCCGGTCCCTTTTAACCCTGATTGGCTCTTGTAGGACATGTGATTTGTTCAAAATAAAAGCGGGTAGATTTCGAAAGCGCTATCGTTCTTGCAATCGTTTTGTTAGAAAGCAATTTGTTTGAGTTCGTGTGTTTGAGAAAACGTTTATTAACTTTTTATCACCTTGGGTTTTATTACCAAGGTTGATGAGCTTCAAGCTCTTTTGGACGCTTGTTCCCAGACCAGACAATGGGAACTTTTGATCCAGTCTATTTTAATTCCCGATGAGTAGATCCCAATGGCGTATGCTCGGCTATTAGAACTAACAGCCGGAGCGATTACTCAGCAACGCGAGAAACGGCTTACTATATCTTTTTTAGCGCTCAAAATCGGATATATAAACAAACCACATACACAAAATGGAGTTGAAAACTCTCTATTTCAATTTAGCTTATGTCTTCTTATTATTTAGCGCTAAAACCTAGATATATAAACAAAACACACACACATACACAAAGTGGAGCCTAAAACTCTCCATTCAATTCTGTCTGACTATTGCAAAACCGCTTTCTCCTTTCTATCTAAGCGTTTCACGTGCCATTAGTCAGTTAATTATGCGAGTTAACAAGCCCACCGTTGCATACAAATTAGTTCAGCTCTGCAGTAAAAACCCCCAGGGAGAACTTTGACGTATTATTATAAAAAGCAATAACTTAATAAGGATCAATCGTTAAATATATTTTCCACTGTTATTTTAGCTTCACATTCTTTCTTACAGTTTGTCGCCTTTATAGGTGTCCTAGTGCGTTTATAGTAGCTTCCGATTGGTTCGTTTTACCTATTTAAGATGCTGTTTTCAGTTTGTTCTCTCTCTCTCGCTCGCGACCTTAGCACTTTAGAGCTGTTTTTCTGCTTCGGACGTTTTAATCTGGCCCCACCCACCCTCCCTTTTCTCAGGTTTCTACGGGTGTGTTTTTCATTTTATCTGCTTTTGATACTGCTCTTATTTCATCTGATTTCAGGCGGTAGAGATGCTTACGTGGACCGCGCAAGGTGCTTTAAATGTCACAAGCTCGGCCATTGGGCAAGAGAATGCACTGCCTCCTGGGATAGCCCACGAAGTGCTTATCGCGGAACCACGTTCACCCCAGGATACTCATACAGCCCCTACAGACCCAGTCACGGAGCCCACACTCAACCTGGTGCAAAGCAGTAATGTTTTTGATGAGGAGGTTGCTGATATCGCTCAGGTACATTGCGATAGCGAATTGTTTGAGTTTGAGTTAAGTACTAGTCGGCCGTGTGTCAACGTCAAGGGAAATCTTCGTAGAAACTTCGAATTTTGGAAGCATATTGGAGCCCCTAGTTTTATTCTTAACGTTATAGAAAGGGGATATTTGTTACCTTTCGTTAGTTTTCCGGAGCCAGCGGTTTTCAAAAACAACAGATCGTCTCTTTCACATGCCGAGTTTGTCGAGGAGGCTATTCAAGATTTAGTTGAGTCGGGTCGTGTGGTGGAAACCAATGTACCGCCCCGGGTGGTCAACCCCTTGTCCGTATCTGTTCAAGCTAATGGAAAAAAGAGGCTAATTCTTGATTTAAGATACGTCAACAAGTTTCTTCGTAAGATGCATGTTAAATACGCAGACTGGAAAACAGCTATGTCTTACTTCTCGCGGGGGTGCATATATGTTTTCCTTTGACCTTAAAAGCGGGTACCACCACGTTGAAATTTTTGAGGGCCATCAAACATATCTTGGTTTTTCCTGGAAGCATTCCTGTTCCAATCAAGTGAAGTTCTATGTGTTTACAGTTTTACCTTTCGGATTATCGTCGGCCCCTCACGTGTTCACAAAAATTCTTAAGCCTCTTGAGAAACATTGGAGGCATCAAGGCATTTGCGTTGCTGTTTTTCTTGACGACGGATGGGGTATTGAAAAGGATTCTCAAGTGTGCAGTATTGTAGCGGATGCCGTTAGAACTGACCTTTTTAAGGCGGGTTTCGTTACTAACGAGGATAAGTCAGTGTGGATACCTTGCCAGAGGTTTGATTGGTTGGGTATCACTTGGGATAGCGCTCGTGGAACCATTGAAATTGTGGATAGGAGGGTTGCCAAAATAACTAGTACCATTGACAGTATTATCGACTCCGATTTTGTTCTTTCTGCCAGAAGATTGGCTTCTTTTACAGGGCAGATAATTTCTACAGCGCCTGTTTCCGGGAACATTTCTAGGATCATGACTAGGCACTGCATTATGTCTACATTAAGCGCGCAGCACTGGGACGCGAAAGTTGAGATGGATTCTTATTGTATTGAGGAGCTATATTTTTGGAGAAACAACCTAAATTCCATCAAAGTGCGCGATTGTTTTCTCTTTCATAAGCCACAACGTTTCGCTTACTCCGATGCCAGCGCTACAGGATGCGGTTCAGTTATTACCCTTAATGAGGATTGTGTGTGTCACAAGCTTTGGGAGCCTTCAGAATGTTCTAAGAGCTCTACTTGGAGAGAACTTGCAGCCATTGATTTTTCGCTAGAGTCTTTTGCGCCAATTTTGGAAGGTTCACTGGCCAAGTGGTTCACTGATAGCCAGGCGGCGGCTAGAATTATAGAAGTCGGTAGCATGAAATTGGATTTGCACAGGCTTGCTATTAAAATTTTTCAGTTTTGCGCGGAGCACTCTATTCGTTTGGAGGTGCAGTGGATCCCACGAACTGAGAACGAGAAGGCGGATTATATCAGTCGCCTTATAGATTTTGACGATTGGCAAATCACGCATGATCTTTTTCTAAGTTTGGAGGAGTTATGGGGCCCACATACAGTTGACTGTTTTGCCAATTATTATACAGCTAAGCTTCCCAGATTCTTTTCGCGTTTCTGGAATCCGGGTACGTCAGGAATTGACTTCTTTGCCCAAGAGTTAAGTTCCGAGAACTGTTTAGTGGTTCCTCCAGTTTCTCTTGTCGCCCGCGTTATCCATTATTTGAGCCTACAGAAAGCAATGGCTACTCTTGTAGTCCCATTATGGCCTTCGTCGAGTTTTTGGCCTCTTCTGACTAGTAAATATCGGTTGTTCATGAAAGGATGTTTTACGCTGAATGCATTCCGAGCTCTCACCCTGGGAAGAAATTTAAGTTCATTCCTTGGTTCGCCTCGTTTTACAGGCGAGGTTGTCGCGCTTAGATTTGAATTTTTGTAAGGATTATCCAACTTTTATTGCCCTTCGAGTAGGTCATTCTGAACTAGCTTTTAGTACTGGTATTTGCAAGATTTGACACTGGTCATTAATAGCATGGACAGCTGTGTCCAGAGTATATGACACTGGTCATGTGAAGGGACGACTGCGTCCGTCGGAGAAGATTTCTGTCGTTTTGGATTTCTGTTAGTAGAACGAGTTTTCGAGTTCTCTCGACAATGAGAGACCTGTTCACGTATGGAAAATTGTGTCGCTTTTTTTTTGACACTGGTTTGCGAATCGTAACTCAACCTGCTATTCTGGCCAAGGTTTTTTCACAAGGTTGAGCTGCGTTATTCTTGTTGGTTTAGGTTACTTACCTTTCTTATCAAGGCTGTAACTTTTTGTTTTTTCCGATTGTTAGGTTATTTAGGTGTTCGAGGTGACTGTGTCCCAGATAGGGTGTTGCCTATTTTATATTCGTTTGCCTGTCGTTTATGGGGCCTTTTTGGGGGATTTAAATGATCTGCTAGAGCAAGTCGCCTTTAGGATATATATGCAGTTTTTACGCGTTTGTTTTTACTTTTCTTTGTAGGTTTTTCGCTATGGCTTTGTTTAGGAGCTACTTTGCATGCCTATTTTGCCCCAGGGAGGTCGCTGTGGTTTCTTTCTATTATGCTGCCTGCGGACATTGCGTCATAGGCATGGGGCCTTTTATTAGAATCGCTATCGTCGCTTGTGTTGCATTTCCTAAAGCCGCTATCCTGTTGTTGCAAAATTTTGGTGATATAATTTTTTCTTGCAGGTCGTAGTTGCAAGTAAGGCATGGATGGTGCTCCCTCCTGCTATTAGGCCGGATTTTCATTCTTTATTTAGTAGTTTACTTTGTTCTAGGGCAGACTCTACTGCGAAGAAGTATCTTAAGGAAATAAACAAGTTTTTACTGTGGTGTAGGACTCGGAAAATTGCACTACAGTTGCCATTTTCTTCTTCTGTTGTCGCCCTTTATCTATTTGGATTAGATCAACAGCTTAGGTCCCCGGCCGCAATGGTTTTGGTCCATGCTGCGCTTAAATGGTTCCATTCCTTTGTTCCTGATGATGGTCCCAATCCTTTGGATAACGCTTGTTGCAAGAACTTGATTGAGTGCGCCAAGAGGACAAGGAGCAATCCAGTTCACAAGAAAAAACCCGTGGACCCTGCTATCATTAGAAGCATTATTGACAGACATGGCGCTGAGGAAGCATCTTTAAAGGACTTACGTATTGCCGCAATAAGTTCTTTAGGTTTTGCAGGATTTTTTCGTTTTAACGAGTTGGCTAATATTCAGCCAAAACACCTCACGTTTTGCGATGGTTTTGTTAAAATTTTTGTGCCAAGGAGTAAAACGGATGTATATAGAGAGGGCAATTATGTTTATATTGCTAAGTTAGAGAACAAATACTGCCCAGTAGCTATCTTACGTAGGTATATTGAAGCAGCCAATTTGGATCTGTCTAGTCACTTGCCTTTATTCAGGCCATTATCGAAGAACAAGTCGGGATATACCCTTAGGAATGGCAAGTTATCCTATACTCGCTGCAGGGAAATATTTAAGACTACTTTGAAAGATTTGGGCTATGACCCCAAGGAATATGGCCTACATAGTCTGCGTTCAGGGGGTGCTACAGCAGTTATCAGTAATAACGCTTCCAAAGCCGTTTCTGAGAGGTTGTTAAAACTTCATGGGCGGTGGAAAACAGACGAAGCAAAAGACATGTACGTTTTAGAGACAGAATGTAATCGTTTAAGTGTGACGAAACATTTAGGTATTTAACTCATATTTAAATATGTTATCTGTTTTTCCTTTACCAATGCTGTAAGATTACTTTTCATTAAAGTGTTAGGGTTCGCACGCGATCCACCCATATCTGATTTCGCCTAGTGTTTGCGGTTATTTAAGCGGTAAATAATTTACGTTCGTTTGAGCGAAGCGAATTAGAACGTAATGTTGAGAACTGATGACTTTGACTTTTAAATGGACCCACATTTTACCTGAGGTGTCTTTTCAGAGGCATTAATTAGTTGTCAACAAAGATTTGTCGGAGTAGCTCTCACCGATCCTTACAATATTGCGAGCCATTTTGAGCAACCAATGAGCAGCATTGAATGAGTCATTAGTAAGAGCTGTTCACATCAACCTATAGGTGGTTTTCATGCAATCTCGGGAAATACAAATAACAATGGTGAAATGAACAAATGCTGATGGAAAAACAAAACGAGCTAATGAGCAATCTTTTGTTTACCGTCCACCAGCATGGCGGCGATGACGTAACGTGAAAACCACCTATACTGATTAAACTTGGAGTCACTACGAGTAGTCTGTGAGCTCCTTTGAGCTTGACTCAGACCAACTCAGAGCGACTCAATGAGCAGCTCAGAGCAACTCTCAATAATCCAAGTGAGCCGCCCAGAGAGTGAGTAAGAGACATATTGGAACGTCGGCCGCAACCTGACGAATACGAAGCCGCTTACCGCGCCCATGACGGGCTTAAGCCGACAAATACAAATTATGCAAATGAGCTTGTGGTGATTTTAAATAACCCTTGGCTAATTATTAATTGTAACTAAAGAACGCATTTCGCAAGTTTAGGTGTCGCAGACATCGTGTCAGAGGCAGCTCTTTTAATTATTCGTTTGCGCTTTATGACACCTTGTAAGTCACAAGGGAAATAAACCTCAATTTGAAATCAGATGCTTTCTTTCTTGCCGCCTGAGGGTTCTAAACTTTTAGGAATAAATCGACCCAACAGTACGCTTACTGTATTTCATTTGAATCCGAACTCATGTGCTGCTGTTGTTTTACTTAATTGTCCTGAAAGGTAGGTATTGTTTGTGTTACTGGTAATTGAAAAGTATTGTTCGAGTGCGTATTGTTCCAGCCACAAGAAGTAATGGCACTATTCCTGTGTCCTCTATTTTTCGTTCTATGCAAAAGTTCTTGCACTATATGTTTTGAAAGAAAGCTGGCCATTAGTTTTTTATTTCGCTTTGAGTGTTACCTTAAATAAAAAAAGAAAATGTACGAACATGATAGTTTCTAGTTTCTCCACCCATATCCTTTGTGAGACACAAACGAAATACAGAAATGATTGTTAGACGAGTTCGACACGGTTTATCGTTATAACTTTAATACCATCTGTGGACTCATTTTTGGCTTCGTAAACAAGTTACAATGAATTTAACAAAATTATGAACTTTTGGCGTTCTAAAACATGACTGATAAATAGGTATTCGATACTTAAAAATTCTTCGAATACATGGCTGACCCAAGGAACACGGATCCTGCATCTCATTATACCCAGAACTGTCAGCTCATTAACAAAAGGTCTCGGTCCTTCCCGACAAACCTTAATTGTCATGCTGAAGAAAAGAAAAATGTCAATACTTTCAATGGGTAGATGAATTTCCTACTATTGATGAAGAAAAAGCGGATATGATGGGTATAATGAGATGCAGGATCCGTTCTAATCAGCTGGCGGATGATCAAGACCCAAAGGCGATGTGACAAACTTTGCGTAAAATCATTCCGAAAAAAATCAAATCAGTGCCCTTCAAGCAGTGATGGTCTAACAGCCTCAAGTTTCAACGACTTCTTTACCTCGATTGCTAGTACTTAATGCAGCCATTTTAAGCGTTGTTCTCTGCTAAAGGTTTTGACACCTAGAGTTAAACATGACTTTGTCCTCGAAGAGGTGTCCTCCAGGTTTTGTTCAAAAAGAATTGCTAAAAATGAAGCCAACTAAAGCTACTGGACTCGATGGTATTCCTGCTCGGTTACTGAAGGATGCAGCAAATGAACTATCTAGACCCACTGCCTACCTCATAAATTCATCAATTTCTACCTTAATACGATCTGAATAGAAAAGTGCGACGGTAACTCAAACTCACAAGTCTGGAGATTAGAGCGATCCAAATAATTATCGCCCCATTTCAGTTCTTCGGTTAATTTCAAAAGTAATGGAATGTGCAATTCAATCACACTTTGTGGCATTTCTTATAAAAAAACAATTCCTTATCAGTACATCAATCAGGATCCCGGAAAAAAACATTCCACCAAAACTGCCACTGTAAATGTTGTTGATCACATCCGAGAACAAATGGATAAACAGAGGATTACCGGGTCCATATTCATAGATCTAAAAAAAGCGTTTGATCTCGTTGGCCACCATTGTCTGCTGCATAAACTAGGACATTATGGAGTTAGAGGGAAAAGTCTGAAATAGTTTGAAGACTATCTTACTACTTGAACCCAGAACGTCAAATATAACCAAGACGTGTCATCCAGTGTAGCTTGGGTATCGGGTCCCCTAAGAATCCATACTGGGCCCGATACTATTTGTCATATACATCAATAATCTCCCGCAAAGTTTGCTGAAGTCATCAATGGCATGTATGCCGACGATACGGTTATCTACTTCTCTGACTCCAGCGCAGAATTATCTAGCAGGCTTTATAGAATGATCTAAACAATGTTGAACAATGGTTAGCAAGCAGTAGGCTCGTACTCAATCAGAGTAAGACTAAACGGATGCTGTTTGGTACTAGGAAGAAACTAGAACACTGTTCAGACTATAAAATACAACTTCACGGGGAAGAAATTGACAGAGTATCGAGGTTTTGTTACTTAGGGGTAATACTAGATAAGAATCTCTTATGGAACGAGCACGTACATGTAGAATTGATTTGAAACAAATTGAGCAAGACTGCTATCCCGCATACGACCTTACTTTACCTTAAAAGCTTCTAAATGCGTGTATAATTGTCTAGTACAGCCGATTTTTGATTACTCTGATACGGTGTGGGGTGGGTTGTCAACCGGATGCAGTGACAGCTTTCAACGTCTACAAAACAGGGCAGCACACATAACACAAAGGAGGGCAATATGGCCGAAGAATCATTCAAAATTTTTGTGTGAGTGGACCTAGAAACACAAAGAAAAGCCCACAAATGTATTTTAATTTTTAAATGTCTAAATGAATTATTTCCTCCATATTTATTGGATTATTTTATTAGAAATCGCACTATTCACACTTGCAAGACAAGACAAAGCAAAGACATTCATCTACCGAACCCTAAGTTAACGCTAGGAAAAAACACTTTTAGATTTATAAGTATGGTTCTTTTTAACAATTTGCCCACATCAATAAAAGAAGCCTCGTCTCTTTTTATTTTAAAGAACTTTCTTAGATTTCATTTCAGCCATTAGTTGTTTCTTATTAGTATAATTCTTAGGTTACTTCGATAGCTCTCTTATTTTTCTTGATCTTAAACAAATTATGATGATATGTAATTTCCCTCTTAGGCACCTTTTAAAATCCTTGTACATAATTTTAACCCTATTCAGACTGGGGGGGAGGGCTTTTCGAACCCCCCCTCCGGCAAAATCGTGATAGCTCCTACACCGAAAGAGCTATGACGTTCAAATTTTCTGACTTTTCCTAAAATTTATCTAGGAACAATTTGGTATAATTACCATGTCCATGGGATTAATCATGTTGCCATGGCAACCAGTTTCTGACACATAGGTTTTGGAAAATTTAAAAAATGGTGATTTTTTTGTTTTAAGATCGCGTTTTTACACTTATAGTGCTTTTTGTTGTTAAAATGGTCTTTGCTTGGGACTAGTTTTTGAATTACATCAAAATGTTTCAACATCGAATATTTGGGGGGGAGGGGTGGGGTAAAATTTGTCACTTTTTTGCTTTGACAAATATGCTGCTCTATTTTCCAAATAACACTTCCAAAGTCATTTGTTTGGGTAATAAACATTAGTTTGATACTTCTTTTATACATTCTGAGCTTTTTCCCCTTTGAAAGTTGCTTTAAATTATAATTTTAACAAAAAAACGGAAATCCAAGATGGCGGATCCAAGATGGCGGACAACCATTTCAAATTTTAAATTTTATTGCTTCCTATTGCTTTTTCTCGCTGTACAAGTGTTTCCTTGTTACTAGTTCATAAGAAAGGATATTAAAGAGATGACTTTGCCAATATTATTGATATTTTACGTATCTAAGTGGAAAATAATAAGAAACATTGAAAAATCGGAATATGACGTCACTGTGACGTCATCATTGGGCGTGGCAAGTCAAAACTGTGTGTGGGGCTTCTTTGTACGGAGATGATCATTGTGTGTAAATTTCATGACCCTGGCGTTATTGGTTCCAGAGATACAGAGGGGGGGTCCGAGGAGCCCCCCCAGTCACACATTGACCAAAAAAGCCCAGTCTGAATAGGGTTAAAGTAATTTTAAATTTTTAAATTTGTATCGTTTAGTCATAATTTACGCAGGGTACCTTTTGATACCAGCCAATGGCTGACAGGGCTACCCTGCCTAAATAAAGTTGACTTGACTCGACCTACCTACGAGACAAGACAATTTAGTAGAACAGACGATTGTAGATATTAGACTCTACACATAAAGTGATGATGTGACCAAAAGCCATTCCTTTATTATTATTATTATTATTTATTGTGTGTAAAATAAGAAAGACATTTATTATCAAAATATTGCAAGAGCAATTTTTTGGCTTGCAGTTAACAAAAAGCGCCATTCATGGTGTGCCAATTAATTCTATAACAAGTGAGATATTACAGGTATAAGTAAAAAGAAAAGAAGAAGAAAAGAAGAAATGTGTGTAATAAATTCAAAAGCAAGAAAGACAAATCTGTTTAATGCAACTTGTGAAAGGAGTTAAGGTTTAGGATTTCGCGATTTTATTTCTCGTGTTATCATGGTTGCATCAAGTTAATCATCTGTCTTTTCGTATTTCAAAGAGCACACTGATTAATTTTCGTTTAAACACTTTTTTTGGCATATCTCTCATTCTACCTGGTATCTCATTTCATAATTTAGCGCTTAAAATTGGGACGGCTTGTCTTAGTTTTTCAAGATTAAATTTTTTGATGTACATATTATTCTTAGAGGATGATCTTGTGTTATAGCCATGAAAAGATAATATGTGCGAGAACAAATTAACGATTTTTGAGGGTGCAGAATTAGTATGGATATCATGCATTAGGTAAGATACGTCACGGCGGACTTAAATAGAAAAAGCTAATTGGCAGGATATTTGCATCAATAAAAAGAGGAATGGCATGAACATTCCGGTTGGAAAAAAAAAAATGAAACGGAGAAAAGCAACTTCCAACAATGAAAGAGCTCGCTGGAGATTTCGGGTTTTCTTTTTGAGAAAATCGTGATGATCACCGGAAGCAGGTATCTTACTCGCTAATTTTCTCCAACAGAGTCAAAATGCGCATTTAGTATATTAGCAATTCTTTGTGGATTGCAGTTAATCTTATTCTCATTATTAAAGTGTTTTATCGCATTTACTCGTCGGGATTTTAATATACTCTTTGAGGTGAATAACATGTTTTGTACACGTAATCACATTATTTCGAGTGCAATTTGGAATAGATAAGCACGAGTGAATTTGTTCAAAGACCAACAAAATTGCACGAGCAGTAGGGCTAGTGCAATTTGTGGTCTTTGAAAAAATTTACGAGTGCTTATTTATTCCAAATTGCACGAGAAAAATCACGTGATTACATATTAATACTAGTCACGAAAAAATTGCGAGATAGCTTTAAAATCTCTTTAACAGGGAGTCAACCCGCGTAAACTACGTGCAAAAATAAATCATTCAAATGCAGCAAATATCATCACACGTACATTCAAAACAACATTTTGCTCGATTTTTTTAAAGTTTGCAAGCTGCAGAAACGGGCTGAACAGTTCATGGAATTGTTCAACGTGTTTGAATTAAAGATTCTGGGTTATTACTTCGAGTTTTCCGCTCTTCCAGAGAATTTCTTCTTCCTCCTCTGATACTTGCCGAGCTTTGTTTGGGCGCTTACCACGGCCAGCCAAGCGAAGCTGTTTCGCTTTTATTTGTCCTCCAACACCTCTTTGGACGAACTAAATTCTCGGTCACGTACAATGGACAGGGTGCAGCGTTTGTTCCTTACGTGTCTATCACGCGATGCCATCATTGTCGTCATTACTTTAAGGCTTTCTGGTTCATAATCTTCACCTTGTTTGTATTGTTTACTTCGTCGTAGAAATGCTCGAGCAACTGTGTTTAGCTCAGCCGGCTCAAAATTTTCTATTTCATCAGTAATTTCCTTATTCTTCCAAAAAGAGAGCCAAAAACCAGTGCTTTTCGCAGTGTTTTCTTTTCTACAGCAGTTTTTCACCTCCTCTACAGTTAATTTGGTCGCAAACGCAAATGTGCTGCAAACGCCAACCACTGCGGTTTTCGCTCGAAACTGGTCAGGGAGCGGATCCAAATTTTGCGCCATTTAGATGGCGCATTTGATTGGCTCTCAGTGAGTTCCTTTGTTTATTAGCCAATCAGAATGTCACGTTTGTTACTCTTTTCTGCACTAAATTACCTTTTTTCTGCACCGTGTTACCTAAAAACTGCATTCTGCTCCAATCACAATCGAGAAATTTTTAAAAGTAATAGCATGATTTGTAGTGATATTTGGCATAAATACCACGAGTGATATTTCAAAATTGTCATACGTAATTTCACGAGCCGTTAGGCGAGTGAAATTTGAAACAACTTTGAAATATCACGAGTGGTATTTATGCAAAATATCACGTACAAATCATGCTATTATTTGTTTATACTACTACCAGCAAAAGGTTTGTAATTTTCACATGTAGGTATTTCAAATTAAAGGGGCTATGTCACCCCACACGCATACGCGAGCCACTGAAAACAAACTTGAAAAAGTCGGCCCGACTTTTTCAAGTTGTGTCGGAGATTTTGGAAGGCTGTTTTTATCTGTCTAGATCTCAGCCATCGTTCGATAGTTAGCGAAGTTTTGTATTAATTTATAATTAATTTTTTGGCGTTATTTTGAAATTGTCTGCCTGTGGAATGTTTTTACGTGGATTTACTGTGTCCTCTTATCAGCGGCCGTTGTAATGGCAGAGTTAATGACGGCTACTCCACAATGAGTGATGGAATCTTTGATGGAATCTTCCCTATAGTTCACAGAACCTTTCTATTGAGTTATTTTAGAGGCTGCTGGCTCTTGGATTTTTCTTGTGCTCAAAGTATGTGGACATATAATGAAGCGGCTATCGAGTTGGTGGCGGCCGTTTTTTGTAAACGATTACAAGAGCATCGGGCCATGAGTTTCGTGACGAAACTAAACTCCTGGCGAAGTAAACATTATAAAATTCGGCTAGATTCCTTCTTGTATTTATCTGGATTCACGGCAAAGATAAACACGACCGTTTGCTCGTCCAGATTGTTCTCAACGGACTTAGAGAGGCAGCTTAGTACGAGTTAGATCCTGTAAATGCCATGTTTTTGAACTGTTTGTGTTCGAGCATATTTTTGGAAAATAGCAGAGTTTACTTTCCCTTTTTATCAACGGACTGTTTATAGTTGAGTAGTATACCAATGATGCTTGTTTCTGTTTTTCTCGACGTCGCAGTGATTCGGCACGATCGAACAATTTTGCGTGATAATGTATGTTTCCCTAAGATCAAAACAAAGACTTGATGTCTCTTGTTCTATCAGCATCTAAATTATAAAATCACTAGCGACAGACAAGTCTAATTGTTAATGATTTAAAACAGTCTTGGTCTTTATCTTCGGTCTAGCGTCTTTTGTAGCTCGTTTGTAAAATACAACTTCGATTTATTTTGTTGAATAAGACAATATGTTGTTGTTGAATTTTTGTTTGCGCTCTATTTTATGAATGGAATGCGCTTTTACTTCAAAACTACAAGTAAAATTGTCGTCACAATTTTATTCTTGATCTAGCATAACCAGAGAAGAAACGTTCCGTAAATTCTATCGAAATATCCCTTATCTAAACCCATTTCGCTTGTTAACCTCTCTAAATTCGGAGCCTTGGACGTGACAGAGAACATGGAGAAAGTCACGCGTTAAAACCAATAGCATTTTGACAGTTGAAAGTGATTTGCATAACCTCAGAGCGCATGCTCTCCAGCTGACATAGCCCCTTTAAGTTTAAATACCACTGCTCTAAGCCAATCAAATTGCAAAAATTTATCACGTAGTAGGATAAGCAATGAAAAACTGTGTTCTGTTAATTTCTTCGTTTTCGCAATGAACTATTGAAACTAAAAAAATTAACCGTAAGGGGGTCATCGTAGGGTTGGAACCCGGGTTTCTGCGGCCACAACACAGCGTTCTAGGCCACTAGACCAGACCAACCATATCCATATATTAAAATCAATATTTTTATAATGTTTCCTTGACCTTCTCACTTCCGTTTCTGAAACTTAATTTCCGATAATTTCTACCACCAGATTTCAGCTCATTAACAAGTGGCCCCGTTCTATACTTCCAAAACTGGTTTGCCCAGATCTCAGCTCAGTAATAAAAGTGGCCCAGTTCCTGTCCTCCCAAAACCGGTTTGTCCTGAAAAACCGGTATTGACCCTCCCACATGCTGAGAGGGCGCTATTTTCAATAAATCTCGCCTAGACTACTGCCGTATGGGGCAAGGCCAACAAGTAAGCTCTCATGCTGGGGCTTATGGTAGACTCACTGGAACAGTCTACTCGAGTAATTTATAAGTAATATTTTAAGATCACTAGAAAATTAAAAAATAAGAAGTCGTGAAGCTCAGCTATGCGGTTTATCTGTTCTTTTAATCGAGTAGTAAACCGCCAAAACATTCCACTTTTCCTTTAAGTGCTTGAGTGAGGTGATAGCATCGTCGGAAATCTAGCAGGTTCCCTGGCCGGTGAAATTTGATTTTCTTGAAGAAGCAAATTATGGTCCAAATGATGTTTGGCGATCGATCGACTCGGGTGAATTAAGGAATAGGTCTCTAGAAATGTGTGAGGGGGGAGTCTAGTTTAAAGGAGATTTGACTTTTCGACTTGAAACTTTGCCTGCGGTAAATATTTTTTAAAAATGTTCTTATCCGTTGTCACTAATAAGCTATGTTGTCACGTGACTTGTCACGCCCATTTTTTGCCATTTAGTTTGGTCCAATTCTACAACATTTTACAAATACTACTTGTGATTTTATTTTGTTTTCTCTCAATGACTATTAACACAAGGTTTATGGAATTAATCGGGGTTTTTCGAAATTATTTGTTTTGAGTGAACTATAACTTTTCCAGTTGAAAGTGGGACTGGGTCGAGGATAAAACATTTGATAATTACATAGGAATAAAACATTTTGCAATTCCCCGTTTAATTTCACTCATTTGACTTTAAACTTAACACTATGGAGAAACAAGCGGAAGCTTCAACAGTCATTTTTATGGCGTAATCTGAAAATATTTAATTTTGCATAATTATGGGCGTGGCTGGTCACGTGACCTTAAGTGGCGCAGTGTGAGCTCCAAAAATGGTTCCAATCTTAAGCATATGTGTTTAAATAATGAAATGAAAAGAGACGGCAGACAAAATAGAGCGAGGAGCCATGCCTTAGTTGTGTCTGTTACTGATTTCACCTTCTGGAGCCTTCGAGGCCGTTTTGGAGTTGTACCTATTCTCCTGCTGATCAATAATAATAATAATAATAAGTATTATTATTATTATGTCTTTGTCTTTTCGATACAATACATATCAAACGGTACACAAATTTTAAAAAGGATTAATTAAGGAGCTTACAGTAAGGAAACAATTTTTCATAGTGTTCAATTGTATTTGAAACTAAGCCTATTTAAAAAGCCACTTTTAAAACGTACGTTCAGTGTTTATCCTAGATAACTGACTAGATCTTTGTTTTAATCTAAGGGAGGACCCTTTGGCTTGGGGCAACATAGGGTACAATGGGGGACAACTGTCGCTTCCAATTTTCTTAAAGAGTTTCCTATCACATTTGTCCAAGAGCTAGCTAAGAGCTCGTGGACACTATAAATTTTTGAGGAGTAGCGCCTCTTGAAACATCTTTTCAGGAAGCATTGTACTGTATTTAAATCCGCTTGGCATGAGCCATAAACAGGGAGACCATACACTCTTCTAGGAAGAACGAGCCTTAAAAAAGATGATCGATTTCGTCTTAGCTATAACCCTATTTCCTAAGTTCTCTTATTATGTAAACACATTTGTTCGCCTCATTTAGTTACGTTTAACAAATGCTTAGCAAATATATCAATTTAAATCCTAAACCAACCACCCCTACTTTAAAACACTTGGTTGTTTTACCCTCAATTAATTTGGCCCTGTTTTCGAAGCAGGGTATGTTTACTGTATTTCTTTGCTTTTTAATATAATTGTTGTTGTTGTACTCAGAGTCTTAGCCCGCTTGTTATAACCAATTCGTGTTCCGCAGTCTGCAGTCCAAGTTTATATTTGTCAAAAATATATTCTTTATATCTGTTAAACCCACTTTAAGATAATGCATTAGACTGCTGGTTCGCCATTTGGCTCCCACTGAACCTTAATATCCAAATGAAAACTTGTTGCTAAGACCCTATGTTCGGGAAATGACAATATCCTGGTCTCATTTCGCTTTTCTACACGTAAGCATTAAAAACGAAACATTTCTTAACTTTAATGTACTTGATATAAACTTACTATTACATGAAAGAACATCATCGCAGATCATTGCAGTTATAGACGAAAGCCTGAAAAAATTCAGGCTTGTACGGGATTCCAACGCTTGACCTCTGCGATACCGGTGCAGCGCTCTACCAATTGAGCTATCAAGCCAACTGGGAGCAGGTCGTTCAGTTGGTTGGAATTAAACCCGTTGAAGGATGATAATGATGATCATCATATTCCTTTCAAGGTTTAATACCAACCAATTCACCAGGTTTAATACGAACCCATTCAACGACCTGCTCCCAATTGTCTTGTTAGCTCAATTGGTAGAGCGCTGCATCGGTATCGCAGAGGTCAAGGGTTCGAATCCCGTACAAGCCTAAATTTTTTCAGACTTTCTTTTCTTTACTACAAAAGTTGCGTCTAGAACTACGATCTTCGTTATCTACGATCTACGATGATCTTCTTTAATACAATTTTTGTTCTCATATATGATTTTCATATATTTATAACTTCATTAAACCTACTATTATTGTAACTCTAAGCTTGTAACAAATTTCTTTGTATTATTTGAGCTTAAAATTGAATCTTTCATCACTTAATTACTTTGAAAAATGAAATTTGTTCCACACCAACATAAACAAAAAAATAATCCAACTAAGTTAATTTTGACGTAGAAATTAAGTAAAATTATTTTCACGCCTCTTTTGGCCAAGTCTTATTTTCTAACAAAATACACGTGCTTTACGTTTTGTTATTTACGTTAGCGTAAATTCTAGGATGAGTGGGCCTCCACCTCATGGACCGGCACCCCATGGATCCCCACACCATGGCCTCCACACCATGGGCCTCCACACCATCCACCACTCCATGGGCCTCATCCCCATGGATATCACCACCCTCCACCACCGTAAGGACAAACCCTTCCCAGGTAAGTTGGAAATGTTGTTTTATGTATATATATATATATATATAATATTAAAAGTCTTACTAAAAGGTTGACGTCGTAATGATAGTCTTTAGTTTGCATAGTTATCTCAACGAACATTTCAAATGGCACTCTTGTAGGTTAGGAACTATAGCAATACCCTGATTTCAGGTCCATAATTTTTCATCATTTATAAATGTTTTCAAGTACTATATCCGGTTAGAAAGTAAAGGGAAAACGGGTGATGTCAGTGAAACGCTTTCGAAACAAAAGGAACTTCTGTGTAGCGGTTGGGTTCCCTGTTTGGTTTTTTCCTGCCTTATGTTATGAGACCTTGTCTTTCGCCCTTGCTTGTTATGCTTTTGGCAAGTGTTTGCACGGCTTGAGAAAAAAACCGACATTTCGCTACGCCACCATTGATACCAGTTTCAGGATAGTTTGCAGCTGCTTTTCCATAAATCGGACTGATTTGTACAAATGGTAAACGCGTTTGCCAAACCGTTGAAAGTTACTAATCCTAGTCGAGCTAAGGAAACAACAAAGGTGACGTCCCGTACGTCAGAAGTAACAACCATAAGTCGTTCTTTTCTCTTTTTTAATTGTTTGACTTGATAACGTAATACTACAGTAATTAAAACAAAAACTATCAAACTTGTTATGTCAGGTAGAAGTGTTTCATAGAGCGAACTGAAGACAAACAACTGGTTGTCATTCATGACGCCCGGGACGAAAGAATTGCTTGAACTCCCTAATTCTGCAATTTTCCCAAATCGTGAACCGACTAGTTTGCCCATATATCCTTGAGGAAGTAATAACTGTTAATTGCTAAATTAGATTATTGTCTTTTTTTTCTTCTATTTTTGTTTCAGATATGAATATTTCTGGAAGTAGCAGCAGAAGCAACTTTTAGTAAAAGTGGATAGAAATCGCGCGTATCATATTGTTATTCACTACTTTAGTTTTTATGATAGCCTTGATGATTAAGAACTATAAGAACAATAACAATAGTAGTGGTGCTCAATAATGACCTGAAAAATACTTTTGCTAATTGATAAACTTCAACAATGATTGCGTCATGGCGTTGTGCGATAGCTCTTTATTACCTACAAGTGATTCATACTGGCGCAGAGTTTCTGGCCTTTAGCATATGAACTTGTCAGTTGATGTCATAAATAATGCTAATGGTTATAGTTAATGTAAACTAAACAACAATGCTTATCGCCTGCTGTACCGCTATTGCATATTTCAAGGCTTGTCTTACTATTTTCAAGATGTTTGCTTTGTTAGAACCGGCTGTATGCAATACCCTTTAAGAATGCAACTTTGTGAAACCTTCTTGAAAATGTATTTGATGTGGCTACTTCCACTTTTATCAGTAATACAGTAAGGATTGCCTCTTTTGCCGGATTTTTTTTTTATGTCTAAAATAATTGCATTTGTTTGTATTTATTTCTAGCGAATGGAAGGAGGACTGGCATTAGTTTCTTTCTCGGTCATGCGTTCTACGCAGCTTTTGGTCATGTGCTTGTACAGATCGTAGCTTCGCTGAACACACGTTTATTTCCCAGAATTGTTTTCTTATTGTGTGTCGATATCTTTGTTTACACTAGGGCGACTAGAAGGAGCAGCAGGAGAACGTAACTGTAGTGTCTTACGCATTTAACCACCAACACACACACCATTGCTGCTCGTGCTCACCTGTGTATTCAATCATCATAACAGTCAGAGCGCATGCTCGATAATACAAACGTGGAGGGTGGGGACGGTAGACCTAAATATTTACATATACTTCATTCCTCCCTTCTTCGAATTACTTCGGTTAGGTTAAAAGAAAACGAAAAAAAAAAAAGAAAACCTAGCTAACAATGTATATAAATGTCTCTGAATTTCCTATAGATATCCTAACCTTCTCTTATTTATCAGCTGCCTGCGCACTGAAGAAATGCCACGAATTCGAGCAATAACTGAACTATAAGGCTTTATAGATATCTGTCCTAGTTCCTCTCTACCCATCAGATTGTGTAATATGCACTAGAGATCAGGTGGATGTTCACTAAAACCTTGTTATTTAAAGGACAATTTGAAAAGAAATAATTCAATAGTTCTGCAGCCTCTTGCTGATCTCTAATGACTCTTCTACCTTCCTTCAGATAGCCCTTTCCAGGAGTTCAGATAATGGAGTGCGGTGCGAACCTTTTAGCGCCGTCCGCACAATCTGAACGCCTGGAACCGGGCTATCCTTCGGAACAATTATGTGATTATGGACATTCTTTCGAGAATGTATGAAAGTTTTTATAGTCTTTATACCTTTATCTTTTTGTTTCTTATCGGTGGACCGTATCAGCTCTGCTCTCATTTTTTTTTGCTATTGTGTATAATTAAATTCATTATGGTTCTGCTCCGACCGATAAATGTTTAAATCTGTTTTATTAACCAATCTTGACTGGTCAAGACTGCTGCACATAGGTCATGTTTGTCTTCGCGTTTTTATGGAGCGAGATAAAGTCGACATTTATAAAAGCGCAAAAAGAACTAGGCCCATATCAGCGGCGGATCCAGGGAAGGGGCGCGGGAGCCCCCTGCTTATGTTTAGAGCAAAATGAGGCCCGAACGGCCGGGAAATTTGATTTTGGAGACCGCCGCCCTTATCTCAAAGTCTGGATGACTGCCCCCCGCCCCCAGCCCCCCTCCTTATCTGAAGGTCTGGATCTGCCACTGCATATCCTGCCACCTTGACCGAACAAGCTTGGTCAATAAACGATTTGTTACATGGCCAAAAAGAAAAGGTTTTTGGAAAACGTCTGGTCGGGAAAGACAAGTCCATCTTTCCAGCTCGGGCAGCCAATCAGAACACAGGATTTGCCTCATCTTGCCCAGAGTCAGCCATATACAATTAATTATTCATCTGATCATTTCAAGTGTCAGACAAGCAACCTGTTAAGTTTTTAAAATATTTAGATTTAGCCAGGACTAAGAGCGAGGCTCTCGATAATATTTATAGTTTGTTCTGACAAAATATAAAATCTGGTAATGCTAAGCGGCGAAGGCAACGCCGGAGAACGGTGAAAGACAACCGTAAGTCTAATTAGCAAAAACGCAACTTTGCACGTGCAGCACACTTTTTTTGTACATTTCTTTGCAGCTGTTTTGCACAACTACAACGTGAAACTTGCTGAAACTTCTTAGTCACATGTTTTATTGTGGAAATGTCGTACGTTTTCTCGTTCACTTTTTTCTCCCTGCCGCTCATTTTCACTTTGCATTGGTGACCGCTGGCATTTCTCATTTTGTCACCGCCGCTTTTGTTGGAAGAAAATTCCAACAAAAAAATGTCTCCCTTGTTTTTTTATCTCTTGCTCTAGATCTCTGTCGCCCTATTTCTCGTCGAGCTTCGCTGGCCTGTCGCCTACTTTCTCTTTATCTCTTTCTTCCTCTTGCTCTATATTCCAAATTTGTGGACATGACAATTATTCTGAGCTTAATACTTTAGAAAATACGAATACAGAGACAGTTTCCGCTTTTCGACTCTTAAGTTATCCCTGCTTCACAAGACGCCGGTGGCTATGCGATTTCCCGTCAAAATAACCTCGAGTTGCATTTGGGTTGCCATACCTGTTTATTGAGTCATTTTACATTGGTATGCCTGTGGTGCGGACGGACAGTCGGTCGGTCGGTCGGTGTACGGCCACGTGATTAAAAAAATTTTCTCGTATGGGTAGCTTAATAAATAGATTTAGCCAGGGTTATAGTTTGTTCAAGCAAAATAATTATAAAATCGAGTAATGCTAAGCGGCGAAGGCAACGCCGGAGAACGGGAAAAAAACAACAAAAGGTCTAATTAGCAAAAAAGCAACTTTGCACGTGCAGCACACTTTTTTTGTACATTTCTATGCCGTTGTTTCGCACGACTACAACGTGAAACTTCCAGAAACTTTTTTATGGAGGAAATGTCGGACGCGTTCTCGTTCACTTTTTTTTCACTGCGCTCATTTTCTCCTTGCATTGTTGGCCGCTAGCATTTCTCATTTTGTCACCGTCGCTGCAAAATTTTCATGTTGTTCTTCCAACAAAAAAAATGTCTCCTTTGTTTTTTATCTCTCGCTCTAGATCTCTGTCACCTTTTTTCTCGTTGAGTTTCGCTGGCCTGCCGCTTTTTCTCTTTTTCCCTGTCTTTCTCTTGCTCTATGTTCCAAATTTGTGGACATGGCAATTAATCTTAGCTCAATACTTTAGCAAACACGGATACAGAAACAATTTTCGCTTTCCGGTTTCGTCTTTATTGACTCTTTAGCTGTCTCTGCTTTACAAGACGCGGGTGTCTATGCAATTTCCCGCCAAAATAACCTGGAGTTGCATTTGGGTTGCCATACCTGTTGATTGAGTTATTTAACATTGGTATGCCTGTGGTGCGGACGGATGGTCTGGCGTACGGTCACGTGATTACCAAATTTTCTCGGATGGGTAGATTACCACATTTTCTTACCCACGGCGCTCCGCTGCGCGCGCCTCGCGCGCGAGAGCTCCGCTACTACATTTTCTTACCCATGGTGCTCCGCTGCTCGCGCTTCGCGCGCGAGAGCTCGGTTATAAAGCAAGAAATTCAACAGAACACTTTGCAATAAAATTGTCCGTTGCATAACTCAAGAGGCTAAACAGACACAGTTTTCTACTACGCTTGAAAAAAAAAACTTACAACAAAACATAACTTTTCACAGTGCCATTATAAAGCCAAAAAACCCACGCAGCTGCTTCTTCCGTAAGCCCCGGCGATAAAAATGGAAAGTGAAAACCACGGCCGATATACGATGTATGGAAAGAAGTTTGGATAAGGGCCACTTATTAAATAATTATGCCAATGTTAACAGTCTTGAACAGTGACTAAAACTTACCTTGACAGTTTGGTTTGATGTAAGTGCTTCAGGTGCGCTGTAAATCCTTGCTCCAGGAGCCACTGTCATGGTCTGCGGCATGAAATTAGCAGTGGCATAATCTGACACTTTGCCTCTCCATTGGTTACCCTGTCGCCATAGCAACACATTAGCACTGCTGACGTCACGATGAATGATAGGCTCTGGTTTCTTCTGATGAAGGTAGTTCAGGACAAGAGCTACATCCAGAGAAATGACGGCTATTTCTGTCTCGGAGAGTTGCCGCTGCTCCAACAAAGTGCGCAGACTTTTCTCCATCAGCTCGGTCACAAACAGAGGAGTTCCCTCATCATTGGTGGCGCCGATGAACTGTAGTAAGTGAGGATGGCGGCACTTGCATGCAATATTCATTTCTCTCTTAAAAAGATGTATGTTATGAGGGGAGAGAATCAGATCATGTATTTGCTTTACTGCTACAGTGCAGCCACAATACGCCCCCAACAATTCCCGACAATTCCCCATCCTTCCCTCCCAAGGCATTTCTCTGTGATTTGAATTTCGTCGCGAGGAATAACCCAGTCCCGTGTTTCCTGGTTACGCAATTGGTTTATTGTTTGCTGTGCTGTTGAAAGACTTAACTGTAGTTCAGAAACTTGTCCTCGGCAATTGGTCAACTGTTGTCCTATCTCCCTCAGTTGCCGCTGCAACTCCGTCAGCTGCCTCTGAGAATTTTCTTTTCACGAATTTTCTTTTCACGTTGTTGAAACTCCCTCAGCTGCCTTTGAGAATTTTGTTCTCGTTCCTGAAGCTCTCTCAACAGCCGCTGCATATTTTGCTCACGTTGTTGAAACTCCGTCAGCTGCCTCTGAGAATTTTCTTCACGTTGTTGAAACTGCATCAGTTGGCTTTGAGAATTTTTTTCTCGTTCCTGAAGCTCTCTCAACAGCCGCTGCATATTTTGTTCATGTTGCTCGATATCCGTTAGCTTGCTTTGAGAGTCCTGACACCGTTCTTTAAACACTCTGAGTTTCCTTTGTAATTCCTGTTCGCGTTGCTGCATCTCCCGTATCTGTCTCTGGAAGTTTTCCCCACGTCGCTGAAAATCCCTCCACTGACTTTCTAATTCTGGGGTTCGCCTTGGCAAATTTGCTTTGCGTAGATTTTGCATTTTTTCTCAAAAGATAATTCGTGATCAAAAACAAAACAACAAGGCAATCATGAAAATCACCCAAGTAACATGGCCGAACTGATTAAGTGTCACCTAAAAAAGAAAAATTAAAAATTTTGACTTCAAAGAAAATTTTAAATGCACTGCGTTTTTCTCTTGAAACTGAACTCTTGAATACTGATGAAGAAGATGAAACGCAGAATTCCGTTTCGCTCCGATTGTCACTTAGTATTGCTTGCTTCTAAACTGAGTGTACCTAAATGTCGTGGGTCGTGGGTAGTGCGTAGAGGTCGTGGGTAAAAAAAAAATTTCCCCCCAAAAATAAAAATTTAAAAACTGACAAGCAAAAAGTTGTAAAATTCATGAAATGAAAATCTCCGCGTACATACCAGTCTTATTCCCCTTCCCCGCGGTCAGCAAAACAAATAAGCGAATCCTTTAACGGGCACTGAAAAGGCATTAAGGTGAAAAATAAAAGAAACTCTGTAAACTATGTAAAGCTGAAGCAGGCCATAGATAAACTGGAGACTGAACTGCTCTTTCTCAAAGATGTCAACATTCGTGACTGAAACGTCGTTTCAGTTTAAGGAATGATATTTCGAACCGTTACAAAAAATAAATAAATAAATAGTAATAATAATAATAAAATGCACTTTACATTATTTTATTTAGCACGAAAGTACTAATTGGGGACACTATACTTTACGTCTCCAACTGGAGAGGGGACTGCCATTTTACGTGGTCATACGAGCCACGCGAAGGTCCTGCCGCTTGCAGTGCAAAGGGAGTACCTTCATTTCTCAGTTATTTTAAGACCCTGAGTATTGGTTCGGCCCCGGGAATCGAACCCGCGACCTCCCGCGCTGCAGTCAACACGCTCAAAAATAAAAAAAAAAAGAATCGAGAAACTGTATTTCCGTACGACAATAAAATGTACATGCAGTCTCGCCTTAACTTGAAAGGTTGGGAATGAAGATAGTTCCTTGGTAAGGTAAGAGACCTAAAACTCCTTTAAGAAAGACTTCGATCCAAAAATGTGAATACCTCAAAATTGTCCTTTTTTCCTCCCCTTTCTCACGGTGATTGCATTCCATCATGTTAAAAAACCTCCGCTGATCATTGGAATTGCAGATCGAATAAAGATTATTAGTGAGCAGCTATTTCCATTCAGCGAGTCGTTGCATCTTTTACTGCACAGCGGAAACAGTTTTTATAAATTGCCAATCTTCCTACTTCTGTTAGTGACATGTCGAAAACATTCCGTATGTTCCTTGCCCACTAAATTATCGGTCTTCCTTTCTCCTTTTCTCATCTTTCTCTCCCTCCAAGATGATCTTTCCCAAGTTCTTATTTCTTTACATTGGCCAAAATACTTCGGCTTTTGTTTCTTTTAAAAAGAGTAACTTACTAAGAGCTCAAAAAAACAATACACTAAATCTGGAGTGCAAAGACGTCCGTGATCAGTTTTTAGAAAATCTCAATTTTGCCATACATTTCCTGTAATTTTGATACTATACAGAAAATGTATGGGAAAATCAAGGTTTTCTAAAAACTGATCACGGACTTCTTTGCACTCCAGATTTAGTGTATTGTTTCTTTGAACTTGTAAGTTACCCTTTTTAAAGAGAAAGCATCAAATATATGAATTCAGGAAGAATTAGAGAGCTTTGAATTCCAATATAAATCTTTGAATTTCCCTTCATCTTGCCCTGATTACCTGTGATGCAACTATGAGCGTGAACTCCTCTCTACAAGCCCACATCTTTTGTGACGTCATACTTGATTAAACTTTTGTAAGTGCAATTTCTGTTCTGCACGATGAGGACTAAGGATGGGCTGCGAGATTTGCCATTGCTGTTAAATTTGCATTTGCATCTCAGTATTTGTGATTTGCTCTTCGTAATAAGCTTCTGTTTTACATTAACAAAACTATTGCAGTGCAAATTCTCGTGATTTGTGTAATAAACAGTTCACGTCATAGAAAGTGCTTTGCTCGGCGTCATATTCACGAGTTGTTTGTGTCAAAAGCCCTCACTCGCTCGTATCTCATTCGCTCGTTCGGGTTTTGACACAAACGGCTCGTGAATATAACCCCGTACAAAGCACTTTCTATGACGTAACGAAACTACATTTTTTATAACAAAATTACTGAGGACGATTCAGGGTCAGTGGGAAATTTTGGCGGAGGAAACGCCAGCGCGCGATCAATCGCATCAATTGATTTGTGAATTACAGACCCGAATGCAGTTGACTCAAAGCTTTCATTTAGTCTTGAACATGATGTGATTTTTTTTACTCCAAATCAGTAGAATAGGGGCCAGACGGATATCATGCTCTACGGGCGTTGTTGCTTTTAAGAAGATCAATGTTGTTCTAGTAGTCTACCCCTCTTGACACTATTAACAGCGAACAATGTTTTCACGCGAAGATTCCCGGTTGACAAAATTTATATCAATACAAATGTACGGGTTTAACCATATGCTTCTAAATTAAAAAACGCCAAACTAAAGTGACTCTAGTCATAAGCTTGAGCCACCTGTTTTTATAAACCAGGTATAAACCTTCGTACAATACAGTAAGTTTAACCTTATTCCTCTTTTTATTTAAAAACTAAAACCAAAAAAACTATAGCTACTCTCACCTTATTAACCTCGATCTGCCTGTTTCCATACATTTGTACAGAGATTCAACCATGTACCTCTTTATTCCAAAACCAAAACTTAAACAAAATTTTGGGAATTACTTTGAACACTCTCACCTTTGATTGGGACGGGCATTTTTTCAATAAAAAGCTGAACCTCATTTGGATCAGCATCTTTGAGTTGAACAGTTTGTCCTTCGTGACCCCACCAGTCTTTTAGTTCTTTAATCGTAACTGTATCCTTGAAGACCTTCATTGTAGTTTCAGGCATAATTACAAACTGAAAAAAGTAAGGAGAGATGGTATTGGATTACTTCCTTGAAATACGTGTAGTCGATTAGTAGAGATAAATCAATACATTTAGAGTTCAAAAAACTATCCGGCAGTATAATCGTCATCCGCGATCAAAGTTCACCTAAAAGTCTTGCGCAAAGTACAGCACAGCTTCCTTGGCTTCCTTTAACAACATGGAACTTAATCACAGTACAGAGTAACCGTTGAATGTTAATCGTTAACAAACATTGGGCAATTTTTACAAACCGCTATAAAAGCGGACACTTAATAGGAAGGTCCCGAAGGTGTCCGCTTGACACCCGGGGGCGAGGGAGGGGGGGAGGGGTACTTGGCTAAATTTTTGCTGGGTATGTGCCGCTGGCCTCTCAGAGCCCCTACCCCATTATAGTCTATTCTGTGGCCAATTATAGACCCCATCTTAGTCACTTTTGGGCAAATATGTAATTTTCGCGATCCCAACCTAGTCACATTTTATTTTTATGAATTGAACCATTTTTTAAACTGAATGAAAAAGACTTTACTTTTCACCTACAGTACAAACATTCAGGTACGTTTGCTAACCGTAAATATGAAGAACTGTCTTACCCCAAAAACTCCGAAAATGTGCCACCCTATTCTAGTAACTCTACTGAAAAAGCGACCCCATTATAATCAATCCAGTTGTGAAAATGCGACCTCATCCAGCGGCACATTCCCATTAACCACTTATAAGGAAGTAACCCTCTCCCCTCCCCCGGGGAGGCTTAATAGAGGTTTCACTGTACCTCCTCACGGAACTTTATGATAAAGTAACACGATCTCCCAAATTATAAATAATAGCAATCACATGATTTATACGATAACATAACGCTGTTTTTATATCTCATAGCAACCTTATTTCCGCTTTTTTGCCAGTTGTTGTAATCTAACGGTCAATCGTTGATATTACCTGATGAGTGTGGTCATCTTTTGGCCACACGAAACAGAGCTGTAGTAATAAAACGATGCCGCACTACCTCTGAAGTCTTGAACAAGTTTGTTATAATTGTATTGTTAAAAAACCCTTTCACTATCAGGGTCAATTATGGATCCATAAAATTTAGTTCTTACTCTTGAGCCCCTGGACGAAACCCCTTTATCAGTACTCACATGGTACTATTTGCTTTCAGTATTGGACGAAATGAAATTTCGACTTCTTTGTTGATAAAGTTTTGATTTGCTGATTTTGTTTGCTCAATCTTGGAAGTGAAAGAGCATTACGTAAAGACATCAATAACTCACATACCGGTACCATCTTTTCATGCCCCGCTGTCCTACTGGCATATAAAATGCGGGAATCTTTGAATCTCTCACGATACCAAAATTGTAGCTCTCCTGCTCCATCCTTCTTACCACGCAAAGAGACGGTACCAACTACAACACAAAGCTGTGTATAGCCCATCTGACTGACCCAACTGAGCCAATCCATTTTGTTTATTGGAAGTGCACCTCGTTCCCTGGCTATCATCCTGCTGAAAATCGCAGCTGCCGCAAGGACGGTATGGGCTGGATTTGTGCGCTGAGGCGTTTTCCATTTTCTTTCGTTTGTTTTTATTTGCCATGTTGTGGAAATTCATACTAGATCAACAAAATGCACATTCAAAGTGACTTTTTTCCTGCATGTGTTTAAAATGCGTGCTTCGCGCTCGAGCAAAGTTTACATGTTAGTTGACATAGCACCGCCTACTCTGCCTACTTCAAACATTGAGAACTTTTTAAGTAAACTTTCAAAAACAATGGTCCAAGAAACGAGAAATGGGTTCATAGAAATCATACTCGACAGAAATTATGTGACTGAAAACCGATCAGATACCAAAAAACTGCTGCAGCCCACAGGTTTGAAGAATAATCTAGGGCAGGGAATTTACCCAGTGACAGTTTCTCTTTCATTTTTAAAACGCGTGATGTCACGTCTGGGGTCAGTGATCCTCCTTAACCTGTCAGACCAGGTTTACTTTTGCAGGTATTCTCTTTTGTAGTTTGGTCATTTCGCTTAAGTCGCGGTGAAAATGGTCTACAGTGCAAGCGAAACAAAAAGTACCGGCTCAATATCCTCGTCTGATGCTTGCTGTGTCAGGGAAGGATAGAGAGGGATTGAAAAAAAAAAAACAAAAACATTTTATACAGGCTGAATTGCCTGAAAAATTCATGCAAAGAAAGAAGAAATAGAAGAAAAAACCCTCCAGAAAAACTTTACCCCTTTAAGTTGACCATTAAAAGTAAAATGCATCCCTTAGCAAGACAAACTGATCAATGATAAGAAAGCCACGTGTCCAACTCACCCAACTGGGAAAGTGAAGGCTTTCAGTGGACTGTCATGCGAAACTGAAGGGGATCTGCTTGTTGAACATCTAAAGGAGACCAGTCACGGTATAGTTAGATTTGACCCCTTACCATTGTCACACATTCTTTTTATTTTTAGCCTCGAAGCACAAAATATTGGCGTTCAATTCTGAACACCTTGATTGATGCCACAAACTACAAGTTTACTCTGCCACGAGGCGATAACCATACATCCCCTCGCCCCTAGTTATTTCAAGTCATTTTCCTTTGTCTTTCAAAACGTGCTTTTTCTTGCTTATGTTGTCTACAATGATAAGAACCTCGTATGTTTCACGCCAGGTATTAATTTTTTTTTAATAATTTGAATATTTGTTGGTTGCCATTAGAGCAGAATTACGCAAAATACACAAAAAAAGTCAATTTCACTTACCAGCGTTTTCGCACTTATAAAGCCCGTCGATCTGCCGATCCATTTAAAACGACTCTTGACCGTTATAGTAGAAAAAAAAACTTCATTGTAAAATTATTAAAGAAAACTGACCTTTATACCTTTAAATGATGTCCTTCTGGGTATAAAATCTCGATTCAGTTCCATCCGTTTGCAAAACTTATAAAGTTAACAAACCGTTGTAATTGGAACTAAATGATTGACGTTTCCGACTGCAACTCCTCCGAGGAGTAAAGAAAAGATCAGGTAAAAATGGAGCAAGTAAAATGTTATAAATTTGGACAACACACAATGCTTCCTTTTTCAGTATTTACTTCTGATATCAGTTCCCCTGAAGATTTATTTGAAGGGACGAAAGATAGGCTTTTTTTCGTTTTTATCTTCCTTACACTGAAACTTGACAAAAACAAAAAAACGGACACTTTGGATTTGGTTTTAGGGCTTTCAGTTGTGAAAACTACTCCAGAAGTCTGTTTAGAAAAAGTCTGGAATGGGAAAAAAACCCAGTTGTACTGAGTTATCGAGGCGTCGGTTGCCGCTCGAGTTTTCCATTTTCTAGAGAAAAAGATCTGAAATTTCCATGACACTATCCATGATTAAGCGGACAATTTATTTCAATACAAAACAAGAATTTCGCGAAATGTAAAGTACTTACCATCACCTTTACGTACTGTGCCTATCCATTATTTAATTATAATCAGGTTTAACTACAAATTAAATTGCTAACTACTGATGCAAATTGTATTCTTCACTACAAATACCTTACTACTTGGTACATTGTGAGTTTAATTGTACGTACCTAACTATCATGTAAATTGTATTCCCTACAACTAATACACAATTACTTATAAACTTAATTGTAATTATATGAATGAAGATCATCGAGGTTATATACGCAACTTTTGCAGTTGCGAAAAGGAAGCCTGAAAAAAATCCAGGCTTAAATCTAAGGGGGTTAATTGTAATAAAAAATACTACAAAATACCTAACTACTCAAAACCAGATGACCCGAATGATTTTCTTTGCCACCCTATATCGGAAAGAAACTAACTGGATATCCTATCAGTACATAATGTTTACTGCTTGCATGTCTAAAAGTTTATGCACTTATTTATGGCACCGTGGAATGCATGTTACTGTACCTAGCACCTTTGTAAACATGTTCAGATATGCTAGATGTGCACATGGTTACAACCCACGATATGCAAGCAATGAAAATCTCTGAAAGTCAGGCGTCAAAACTAAAAAACAAAGCAGACATAAAAATCCCATATATGGCAGCTGCTCTTTGGAAAGATTTTCTTTCGACACTAGAATCTTTAGACCTGTTATGTAGGATCTGGCAGTTCCCGGATGCACATTTCACAAAGAAGAACACCAAAGCTATAAACATCAACCTGACAAAAAGTATAGTAGATAACTTTATGCCAGGAATATTATTAAATTATTTGCACGTTGTAACATTACAAAAAGAGTTGAGGTAACACCAGAAGCGGAACCTTGAGAATAAATTTAATGCTTATCGACAAATGGATTAAAAAATAGCTGAGGCTTGGCTTAATGGTACGTTTTCGGGTTCAATGTTTTGTTTCTGAAAAGACCAACTTTTGGAAACCTGTAACTGTTGCCTTTAGAGGGAAGAAAGCGTAAACAAAAACGTTAAAGAATCCAAATACGTAGATCAAATGCATTAGTGAAAAAAGGCCAAAACAATGTACGAAGACTCCTGACAAAGAAATTCTCATTTCAGTACTAAAAGAATGTTCTATTGTTTGGGGGGCGGACAGGAATTGTTGACCGCAACAATCGTTATTGCCAAGACTCAGGAGTTTTTCTTAAAAATTTCATATCGATAAATAAGGTCAATGGCGTAGCCTGCTCTCATGAATGAAATGCGACGTTGGAATCTTTAGATCATAAAATATCATGAACATTTCTTGAAAGTTCTTTCCTTCTAGTTCTGAATCGCCTGTGCGACGTGGAAGGAGTTTGAAAGGGAGGGGGGAAATCTAGCGCTCACTAAGGAGCTGAGAGAACGGAAAGAACGGGAACGAAAATATTGCCATGGATGGATGTCATACTGGTCCCCCATAAGGGTATTTAGTCAGTATTACGTCCCTGCAACTCCTGTTACTAAATTTACTGAGAGACAGCCGAATTTATTTAGCCCAGCAACCAAACAACTACTTAAAAAAACACGGCCGCTTTCCGCCTGAATAAAACGATTTCTTGCATAAATCAGCTGTATTTACGAAACATAAACACGATGAACAAACTACAAGAATTTACAACGCAAGCGAAAAAACACATATCGAAAAACCTAAAGGGGGATCCGAGCCCCTGAAGACTAACTTACGGCCTACTTCCCACGCGTCCGAACAATCTAACAGAATATAAAATTTCAGTTCCGAACATCCTCCCGCCCGATGCAGGGAGTGCATCTTCAAATTGATCAATAATGTTCACATCAAGCTCAATATTTGTCAACGTTCCTTTGTCAGTTCAATCAAGTTCAGCAGCTAGATCAGCATCACAGGCTTCAAAAAGGTGTAGCCGCTGCACTGGACGACGGGTAACACTTCCAGATGCCAATCGCAAGGTAACTGATCGGATAAGACCATCACGACCAGGATGGGTGGCTTCCACGCGCGTACGTTGCCACTGACCTCGAGCTAAGTTATCTTCGCTAACAAGGACCAAGTCACCTTTATGTATCTCGCCACCAACTGTAAACCATTTCTTGAGGGCTATCAAAGATCTCAGGTACTCAGCATGCCAACGCTTCCAAAATCCATTGACAAGTTTTTGATGATACTGAAAACGTTTAGTGATGGCTTTAGAGGTGTGTTCCGAAACACGGGTGTCCTTAGCTGGAGACGCTTGAAGATTTCTCCCAATGAGAATCTGAGCAGGAGTAATCACGCTCTAGTCCCCAGGGTCTGCACTAAGGTAAGTAAGAGGACGACTGTTCAGCTGTGCCTCAATTTCAGCTAAAATGGTGGTCAGCTGTTCAGCATTCAACATTGCTTTGGCAAAGATTTTCTTCAGAGGTGTCTTTACACTCTTCACAAGACGTTCATAAAACCCACCCCACCATGGGGATCTCTCCACGATATGCTTCCACTGAATCTTCCTTTCAGACAATGCGACTTGAGTTTTGTCAGCTTCAAGTACTCTCCAGCATTGCTGCAAATGTTTATTAGCACTCGTGAATGTTTTGGCATTATCTGACCAAATAATACTGCACATTCCTCTTCTTACCACCATTCGTCTTAAGGCAAGGAGAAAGCGCTCCGCAGTCATGTTGCTCACTAACTCTAAGTGTATTGCACGGGTAACTACACAGGTAAATAGACAGATGTAAGCCTTTTCGCCACTGTCTTTTAAAAACAATGGACCAGCAAAGTCCAAACCAACATTAGTAAATGGCGGTGCAGGTTTGAACCTGTCTTCAGGAAGTGGTGCCATCTTCTGCATAAACGGCTTTGTATGGTAATGGCGACAAACTAGGCAGTTCTTACTGTCTGGCGGATCTTCCTTTGATCAACCAAAATTTCTGTCGTAGGACTGATAAAGTACACTCAACGCCAGCATGGAGTTCACGGCAGTGAACATCTTCAATAAGGAGCTACACAGCAGGAGGATGGTTGGAAGGGAAGATAATGGGATGCTTCTCCTCTTCCGGTAACGAAGACTTATGAATTCTTCCTCCAACGCGCAGTAACCCACTAGTAGGGCACAGAAATGGATTTAAATTTGCTAGCTTACTGTCCTTCAAGGGACCACCATGTGTAGCCAACGAAGCTACTTCGTCAAAACTTGTTTTCTGTACATGGGCTATGAACTATTCTTCTGCCTCTCGTATCTCTAGTCCAGTTAAAGGAGTTGAAAGTCTCTCTTCTTCTTTCAACTTCGAGTTGCGAATGAGTCTTCTGATCCATGCAACAGTTCTTAACAATCGACTGTACTTGCTGAACCTGGCGTAGTCAATAAACGGTTCTCTAGTTTGGACAACACAGCTGCCAATAGTTTTACTCTTCCTCTCCACTTGTACTGCTTCATTTGGAGACTTGGATCTTAAATCCTCAGGCCAATCCTTATGTAACTCTTGCAACCAAGAGGGCCCCTTCCACCACAACTGACTCTCTCTAAGCTGGCTGACAGATAAGCCTCGGCTAGGTAGATCTGCTGGATTATGCGACCCTGGGCAATATCTCCAAACACTAGGATCCAACACCGACTGAATCTCCATGACACGGTTAGCAACAAATGGTTTCCAGTGTGAGGCGATCCTCTGATCCAGTGTAAGGTGGAAGAATTGTCCGTCCAACAGACAATGCGGCTAATAGGACAGTCAATTGCATCTTTAACATAGATACACAGTCGAGCAGTTATCACTGCAGCCATTAGCTCCAAGCGAGGGAGACTAATTTTTCGCACAAGAGCAACTCTTGTCTTAGACATCACAAGGCTTGTAGACGCCTTCCCTTCTTTAGGAACAACTCTGACATAGATGGCGGTGGCATACGCAACTTCTGATGCATCACCAAATGCGTTTAACTCCACCTTTGCACGCTGGCTTAAAGGCCAATCAATCTAACTTCTTGGAATGTGAAGCTGTTCAAGCTCTGAAAGCTCTTGAACCCACTAAACCCACTTCCTAGAGGTTTCTTCAGGTAACTCATCATCCCAACCAACACCCTGGGTCCACAGACTCTGAAGCAAAAGTTTTGACCTTACTGTAAAAGGCGAGATGAGACCGATCGGATCGAAGATCTTTGCTGCTAAAGAAGCTAGTTCTCTCTTAGTGTACAATGTCTCTGATTTCAATTTCAGAGAGTCCAATTCAATCATAAAGACAAGGCTGTCTGTTCTCGTATTCCACTTCAGACCTAAAGCTTTCGTAACTGGATGCATTCCCGGTAGTGCACTCTCCAATCTGATCAAACTATCTGATGCTCTATCTTTCTCAAGAATGGCTTGCATAACCTCAGGCGAATTGCTGGACCATTTTGTCAGATTGAAAGCTGCTTGCTCCATAAGCTGTTTTGAACTTTGTTGTAACCTCACGGCTTCACGTACAGTATCTTTCCCTGAGGCAAAGTCGTCAACATAAGTGTTCCTCAGGATTTCATCGGATGCTTCAGGGAATGTTTCTTTACATCTCCTTGCGTGCTCTTGAGTAGTGCAGATGGCAAGGAATGGACTAGAAATAACTCCAAACGTAACTCTTGTCATTCGATAAATCTTAGGTGAGGCATCAGAGTCCAAATCTCTCCACAGGAAACGATGTGAATCCCTATCTTCTTCTTTCAAGCCAATCTGCAAGAACATCTTTTCAACATCACCCATGACCCCCACCTGATTCTTTCTGAAGCGCAGAAGAATTCCACCCAAATCAGGGCGCAATGCAGGGCCTGCTTCTAAGCAGTTATTTAGAGACACACCATTTAAATCTCTCGCAGATGCATCGAATACAACCCTCGTCTTAGTTGTTTGCTTATCAGCTCGGATAACAGCATGATGTGGAAGGTAAAACACAGGACACCCATCTGCTGGTGCATACTGCTCATAGGGTACTTCTTCTGCTACTCCGTCCTCCACATGCTTATTAATGGCCTCTTGGTAGGACTTGGCTTTGGATGAATCTTGGAGCAGATTCTTCTCCAGATTATACAGCCTACTTCTTGCTTGCTTGTAATTATCTTTCAGTACAACTTGCTCATCTTTCCATGGTAATGAGACTTCATACCGACCATTGTTGTATGCTAATGTCTCTTTAAACTTCTTTAAGGCTGTACTTTCACTTTGGCTGGTGGAAACTGACATTTCAACAGGTGTAATACCAATGGACTCCAAGTTCCAGAACTTCTGAAGTGTATCATTTAGTTCTTGGTTAGCACAAACTTGAACACTCATAGACGCAGTGCAATCTTGGCCATGACCACCCGTTGGTCCACAGAAGACCCAACCTAAGGATGTACGAAGTGCCACTGGTTCATTAGGACCACCCCTCACAACATCTCTGGATACAAAGGAATAATAGAAATCCAAGCCAATGAGGACATCAATCTCTTGTTCGTTTCGGGGGAATTTCTCTGGAAACTTTATATCTTGAAGATGAGGCCACTTGGTAGGATAAACATCCACAGCATCAGCTGGACGGCATATAACTGGAGCTGTTAGTGCCTCAACACCTTGCGGCTTTCCAGGATTGCTGACCGGTGCTTGCGTAAAGGAAATTCTCTTTCGCAAAGTGTCCCAAGCAGATTTTCTTCCAAAACCCGAGACTGCGATTCTCACGGTCTCCCCATCAAGACCAAGCTCTTCAGCCACACTCTGTTGGACAAAGGACGTTTGGGAGCCGGGATCAAAGAAACATCTGACAACCTGTTTGCAACCATTGGATCCACAAAGGACAGCAGGAACAGTCTGAAGGATCACCTTCCCACCTGAATTAACCGCAATGGAACTTGCTACTATGGAAGACGACGAGGGAGGAGTTGCAGATGAGGATGGTGGCTCAGAAGACTTTTAATTGGCTTCTTCTGGCTGAGACTTGACTGGTTCCAAGTGCAGGAGACTGTGATGTTTACCACGGCAGTATTTACAGAGTGGTTTTTGACAAACTTCAGCTCTGTGACCAGATTCAAGGCACCGAAAACACAGGCCTTTGGATACCGCTTTTCTAAATCTTTCTTTGACTGGCAATGACAGGAAACTGACGCACGACCACACCCAATGGTTTCTACCACAAATGATGCACGCACGCCCTTGAGTTGTCGTGCACAAGGCAGAGGTAGAGTACTTTCGTGAAGGGTTAGACTTGGAATGGGCTCCATGATTCCAACTGTTTTCCTGTACAGGGGACTTCGATTGAAGAGAGGGAGGCTGGGAGGACTCCTTAGCTCTCATTAACTGCTCTAAGAAGGCAAACAATGTTTTCACTTTCACATAGTCCTCTTTATGGTCACCAATGTCTAATTCCCACTTCTCCACAACCTTTTTTGGTAACTTGTCAACAATTAAAGGCACGAGAACAGGCGCTAAGGTCTCGGAACGGAACTTCTCTCCCATTGATTCAACAGAACGAACATGACCAACTACTTGGTCATAAAATTTACGCATGGACAAAGCATCTTCAGAATTCAACTGTGGCAAATGAATTAGGGACCTTCTGTGTGCATCAAGAATCAACCTCGGATGGCCAAATCGTTCCTTCAGAGACTCTAATACTGGCTGATAATTCTCTTGTATGACTCCAAACCCTTTAACCGCTTCGGCAGCTGAACCTTTCAATGATCTCATTAGGTATTCTAATTTCTGAACATCAGCTTAAGATGGATTATCCACCACTGAGATTTTAATTGACTGATAATAAGACTGCCAGCTTAAAACATCCCCATCAAATGTTGGCAGATCAATCTTTGGAAGCTTCACTTGTACCTTGGGGCCTAACGACAACGGCGCTTGGGCTGCAGTTGAATTACTTCCTGCGCTTTCCTTACCGACATGTTTACTTTCTAAGTAATGCATCATTTTCGCCATGTATTCAATGACACGCAGTTCGTACTCGTTATGACTCTCACATTCTTCGTCAATCTCTTTCTCTTCCAATAGAGTACACATTGAGGCCTAAACTTGTTGAAGATAGTTCCATTTATTTGCAATGTCATCTTTCAAAACCTGAATTTTAGCATGGTTATCGGGGATTGACAGAGCTTCGTCGATAGACTTCAATCTCCACTAACCTTGACACAATCTCCACTAACCTTGAATGACAGTTTCGTTCCTTAAAACACTCCAAAATTTCAGCAAAGTTCACAAGAGATAATGGCGCCAATCGCTGCACTGCCAAGACCAACTTGACCAAATTCTTCACCACAAACGGAGGTCCAATTCTCAATTCTCCGCTGGTATCTTCAAATACTCGCCGACACTGTAGATCCGGCTACTGAAGGACCATGAATAAAACGATTTCTTGCATAAATCAGCTGTATTTACGAAACATAAACATGATGAACAAACTACAAGAATTTACAACGCAAGCGAAAAAACACATGTCGAAAAAACTAAAGGGGGGTCCGAGCCCCTGAAGACTAACTTAGGGCCTAGTTCCCACGCGTCCGAACAATCTAACAGAATATAAAATTTCAGTTGCGAACACCGCCTAAACTCAAGTAAGCGGCCAAGGTCTAAAACAGATAGCGGAAGCCATGGCCGATAAAACTTATGCTCTGATATTAAAATAAAAAAATTAACAAAAATAATCTCCTTTAGTCATGCTTTTTTTCTGGTCAGAGTTTAGTGGATACTTTGTCTTTTAGTTCTAGACATTTTTGGGTTTGTCTGTTGGGGCTTCTCTTCTGTTTTTATCTCCTTTCAGGGTACCTTTCTGTTTTTTTCCCTTGTATGTATGTATTTTCGTTGTTTGAAAAATATGATTTAAATAAATGCTCTTAGCTAAGACATAATCTCTTTGTACGGACGGCGAGATTGGGAAAGGACTAGTGTTACTAATTACTCCTACTACTGTTAGCTTTGCTTTACATTTATATTAAGTAAACAATCTTGAATATTCACTGAAACTAACCTTGACTGTTTGGTTTGGTGTAAACGCTTCAGGTGCGCTGTAAATCATAGCTCCAGGAGCCACTGTCATGGTCTGCTGCATGAAATTAGCAGTGCCATAATCTGACACTTTGGCCCTCCATTGGTCACCCTGTCGCCATAGCAACACATTGGCACTGCTGACATCCCGGTGAATGATGGGTTCTGGTTTCTTCTGGTGAAGATAGTTCAGTGCGCGGGCTACATCCAAAGAAATGGTGCGTATTTCTATTTCGGCGAGTTGCCGCTGCTCTAACAGAGCTCGCAGACTTGTCTCCATCAACTCGGTCACAAAAAGAGGACTTCCCTCGTCAACTGTGGCGCCGATAAACTGTAGCAAGTGAGGATGGCGACACTTGGATGCAATATTTATTTCTCTCTCAAAACGACGTACGTTATGAGCGGAAAGAATCAACTCGTGGATTTCTTTCACTGCTACAGTACAGCCACAATACGTTCCCTCATTGACACTTCCCCATCCTCCCCTCCCTAGGCATTTATCTGTGATTTGAATTTCGTCGCGGGGAATAACCCAGTCACGAGTTTCCTGGCTGCGTAATTGATTTATTGTTTGCTGAGCTGTCAAGAGACTTGATTGTAGTTCAGAAACTTGTCCATGGCAATTGGTCAACTGCTGTCGTGTCTCCCTTAATTGCATTTGTGAATTTTCGTCTGTTTTTCTTAACTCACTCAGCTGCCGCTGTATCTCCCTCAACTGCCTTTGAGTGTTTTGTTCCCGTTCTTGAAGCTCTCTTAACTGCTTGAGCAAATCCTCTTCGCGTTCTTGTACCTCTCTTAACTGCCTCTGGGAGTTTCCTTCGCGTTGCCGCAGCCCAGTTAGCAGCCTTTGAGAGTTTTGTTCCCGTTTCTGAAGCTCTCTAAGCTGCCTTGCTAAATTCCCTTCTCGCTGCGCCATCTCTCTTAACTGCCTCTGGGAATTTTCTTCACGTTGCTGAGAATCTCTTAACTGTCTTTCCAATTCTGAGGCTCGCTTTTGCAAGTCTCCTTCGCGTAGATCTTGCATTTTTTCTGAAAAGAAAATCAAAAAGGAAACAAAGCCAATTAAAATCACCTTAGTAACATGAGCGAACAGAAAAGTTCCAATGTGTAGCATTTTTCGAATCGCAAGTCTGGATGGTGTAGATTATCAGTAGTACCACGAGTTTTATCTTGCGGGATTCTTGAGTGAACGCCGCATTCTTCTGATTGTGTGCGACGTTTATTCAAAGACAGCAGCGTTTATTGATCGTTTAAACGAGTAAACACGATGAAGCCTATTGTGTGTAAAGAAATATTACAAGATTTTTGCATTCTTCCATCAGAACACCTTGATATGGCGGGTCTCACGTGACAATTCTAACAAAGGAAGCTTTAGACGCTTGACTACCCTGTTAGCAAAGGTTTCTCGATCTCTCGCATGGCTTTTAGCGTTTGAGAAGTCGTTCGCGTGGCTTGTCTGTCGCGTGGTTAGTTTGGTTACGGGGAACCACGCTAAAAGTAATGCAAGAGAGAAACCTCTGCTCTCAGGTTGACCTCTCACAAGAAGGTGTCTGGTGTACATAAGATTGTGAATTTCAAGGACTTTTCAAAACCCAGTAAAGAAATCAAGTACTTTTCAGGGACCTAACGAATTCAAGGAAGGACTTTTCCAGACGACTAGTAAAATTCAAGACCTTTTCAAGATAGTAGGAACTATGGTGGGCATAAGAATAAAAAAATCCCCCTTTACGTTGGAATAAACAAAGTAATATCTAAGAAATATTTCATTGAAAGTACACGGTATTTATGCACGAGTAGATGATTCAGAAATCGCACGATTAATCGAGTAACATTTCCTATACAAAAACAGTGAGTGTGTAAATAAAGTACCAAGTTGATGTGCGACATTATAGTTTCTATATCCTCCCACAAAAATGTTTGCTTGTGTCGTTTGTGATAAGAAATCAATAGGACCAACGTAAAGATGCTTTTTTTTTTAAGTTTTACCACGGCTATACATACCTTTGAGCATTGTCACTACCTGCACGGTGTTGTGATCGCCGCCGAGCCTAGGCTAGGATAAAACACTGACCCCCTACTGAACCCCTAGGAAACTATAAATCACCGTATTTATTCGATTAACCGCCCTGCGTGGGTGCTCATTTGAGGATGGGCGCTTATTGATGATGGGCTCCTGTAGTCTACTGGAGATGTTGAATGCCTCCCCCGGCCGCTAAATGTGACTAATCGTCTCTCGACGTTTCGTTTGTAAAAGCTTAACACTACTCAGCCGTAATTTTTACATATGTCAAAGGGGATAAATTTTACAGAACATATATATAACAAAAAATTAGCTGGATATATTTGGATATAGTGGCGTTGTACTACCTAAAACGTTACCTCAGAGGGGGTGCAACGCGCCATGGCGATTCACAATGCGTCACAAAATCGGCAACTGTAGTGTTAGCAAAGTTTTAAAACATGGTAGAGTTTTCCTCTAATTAAACAAACAAGATAAACGGTACAAATGCGGAGCCAATCATTCTCTAAAGTTCCAGCGCACATTCATATGAACTCGTTATACAAACAGCTAAATACTATCCAAAAAACAAAGTTTGACAAAAAAAGGTGGAGATGTGATTAACTGCTAAATTCTTATAACGTGCGGCAAATAAAAGCAAACGCTTTTATCACTCGTTGCAAATTTTTCTTCCTTTTCATTAGCCGAGAGCCCACCACGTGACCTGCAAATACCTGTCTACAAATAATGGTCTGCTCTTGCGCAAGGTCATCCAACTTTGTTTGGCTGCAAATAGAGACCACGCTTTTTTCCTTCTTGCGATCGGTCTTGTGAAAATGACAGATCGCTTCGCTTCCCGAAGATACTCCTTTTTGAAAGATAGTAAAACAATTATTAAACTCGATTATCACAAAAACATCGTGATTCTTCAGTGTCTCACAGATCAATTATTGGTTGATCTGATCGCCACTGACAAATCACGATATTTTGCTCAACCTCGTCCAATAATTGATAATTATTGGTTGGTTACTAAACGGCCACATTCGTCAAGAGCATGGTTTGAGGGAGAAGTGACAGTGAAATTTGTTTATTTATTCGTTGACAATCACTGGGGACAAAGAGCAGAGAGATTCAAGCTCACATGTACGTAATGGGTTCACTCTTATGCAAATGTTCGTACGAAGTCCAAAAGGATGGTTTGGATTTTAGTTACGATGTTCACGTTTTGCTGGCGAAATCCGAGAAACTCGTTTAGGCGACGATAACTGTCACCTTATGATAACCTTAAATCTATTTTGCAAACATTGGAAGTCTTTGATGTATTTTTGAAAAGCTAAGGTATGAGTGGAACTCGCCGAAGTTGTTTTTAGGAGTAATGCATTTATGTCACGTTTTTGTGCGCATAAGTTTTCGCTTTTTCTATATAAGTAAGCTTAAATTGTTTTCAGCAGGATAGAAAAACTTTAGTAAAGAAAATTTACAGTGAGTTGTTCTCCGACACATGTACATACCAACTTGTAGTCTTTAATTATTCCCAGTTCAATGTCCAGTCTTCAGCCACAAGTTTTACAGCTCCGACTCTGATAAAATTGAGACCAATTGTTATCGCTTTAACTGTTCGTTTGAATGGCCAGATCAATTCCAAAAAAGGTAGCAGGTGCTTCGTTCGTCCTAATTTTCTTCAGTTATTGAAGAGTTGGAAAAAACTGATGAAGACTTGCAGTACGCGGTCTAAACGTCGCGATCAATATCTACGTGACAATAGTGAGACAAACGATTAACGAAACCCCTGATATTCCCAAATAGCCCTCGTTTCTGTCTCTTTGATCTGCAGTCTATAATTTCACCCTATTCCACTACACCACACCTCTTTGCTCGGACGCGCTCCTTTCATCGTCCAACCTTTATCCGCCCTATTTTCTGCCTTAAATATGGACACTTAATCGGCTGGGCGCTAATTAAATGTTGGGCGCTTAGTCGAATAAATACGGTAAACATAATGACACAAAAGGACGACATAATCTAAGTTCCAGATTAATACACCCACCTTTCAATTCCAAAATGGCGGAAGATGGTCGATCTGCTTCGAGCTATCGTTCAAACCCATTTTACCACAATTGTCAGTTTTCTTATTTCATAAACAAGTGGTAAATTTAAAGGTGAGTGTATTATTTTAGACGTTAGATTATATCGTCCATTTGTATCATTTAATAAAGTTCAGTAGGGGGTCAGTGTTTTGTCCTAGTCCGCCGAGCCGCACGCAGTTACACTCGTTAAAAATATCATCACATGTACATTCTCAGAATTGGTTGAACTGAGTGCATTTGGTTTGAAGCTGCAAAAGTTACATGCACTTCGTCGACTATGGAGCTACTGCAGGCGTTATTTACGTAAAAAGGTTCTCTAACTTTTGTAGATCTTCTTTCTCTAGCCGAGGTGATAAAGAAAAATTGTTGGTTGTTTTTATTGTGTTTTTAGCCACCGTTTGATTTTTGAAAATGGCAGCGTGATTTCTTTGACAAACGATGCAAGAAAAAGGTGGCGCGAACATTGCAAAGGGTTCTCGATTGTGACTGGCTGCTTGTAATTATCGAATAACTATTTGATCCCCTCCGTTTATTTAACTGGGCTTAAATATATTTTAGCCCGCAAAATACGCCACCATGCCCGACAAAGTTATAATAATATAGTAATATTAGCTAGAGCTTTGGCATCAGTTTCGCCGCTGACGGTAAGAATACTCACTTGGTGATTCTTTAAATTCATCTAAGTTGACTGGTAGCACAGGGACACCTTTCTTGGCTGCTGCAGGTGCAAAAGGAGCCTGGAAAAAACAAAACACCAAAATTAATAATTATGATCAATAACAATAGCAAGAAAACTGTTGGAATTAAGAATACAGTTGAACGTTCTTGAGTGCCCGACTGCTGTGGAAACTAAGAATATTCCAGCTACAAATCGTGCCGAAATTCATCACCCCAACACATACTTTATCTGCAGCCATCTTTTATGAACCGGTTTAACTATTTACAGGCTGGCTGTAACATTCAATTTCAATTTTTATTAATTACTGATTTGACCTATTTGCATGAAACTTATTATAATAACCCCCCCCGTTTAATTATCTGTTATCGGAAAATGACACCCCCCCTCCTTCCAAACCAATCAAATTTGAAAATGACTCAGCAGCAATATGGCCGCATGACCATCCCTCCCCTTTGCAGGTAATAAACGACCAGCCCCTTAGTGTCCTCCTATAAAGCAACCAGTTACAAAATGCGGACAGCTTTTATTATGAAGCCAGTAATCTCTTCCTCAAGGGTAGAAGCTTATGGAGGTTTGACTATAATCCCTAATTATCTGTGAATTGTACCAGGGTTCTACTCCTGAAAATTTACAGTAGGAGTAAAACAACTACAACATCAACAACAACAACAGAATGAAATTTAAATTGCACAGCTGATCAAGCTGATCATTAGGGCTAGCTCCCATCTGCGGGATTCCCTGGAAAAACTTTAAGACGGAATCCATCGATCCTCCCAACAAACGTTTGCTGGATATCGAACCAAATTCCTTTCTTTGTGGGGAGGACAGTTGCGTGAGGACACTAAAAACAGCTGTGTAGCAGACTAACAGAAACCTTCTACCAGAATAATTTAACAATATCGCATTGTTTTTGAAATTTGCAAGGGCTATAGATATAATTAGTTTTACCAGTTGATACGTATGCACGCCTATCGGCAGAGTGCTCAACAGAAGGACTAGAGCGTAGTATAATCTAGTTTGTCTGGTGTCAACGTGAGATCCGACTTGGCATTTTTATTACTACTTAGTTTCGTACCGCACGGTATGTACGGCACTCCTCAGATAAAATTGCCGACAAAACGTTCGTTACAACATACGCTAAGCCTACAAACGCGCTCGCAGAATTTGAATAAAAAAAACTATTGCGTGCCAACGGAAGATGTAAAGCTGCAAAGAAGGAATTTACGCGCGTGCCTGCTGGAAGTTACAAGTTCATTTCGCTTGCTCAAGCTCGCCAGATCGGCTCTGCAAATGATGCAATATTTTTCCCACAGGCACAAATTACAGCGATTTGAAGCGGGATTGAAAGGTGTGGCTTGCTTTAAGATCTTCTAAGTTAAGCTAAATCCAATCTTAGCGTCTTTCAAGTGCCAGATGTGCTTACTGAGTCTCTTGTTTGGGTCTCTGAAAGAAGACTTATGGCTCGAATATCTGCTCTTAAAATAGTTCTCAGTAAGGCCTACATAGGTCTCGGCTGGCCTGTCGTCCTCCGTTGCCACTGTGGCTTGGTAGATCACGGCTGATTTTAAGCAATTACTGTCCAGAGGGCAATGAGCTGGTTGACGGCAGTTGCAAGCTTTAGGTGGTACGGCGTTTGTTTTCCGTAGGGTGGATTTGCTGTGGTCATCAATGTTTTGCTTTAGATTCGGCATGCAGCTGTGACTGATCTTAACTGTGTTCCGGTTGAAGATTTTATGCAGCGCATGGCCCTTCGGGAATTCTTCGTCGACGATCTTTAGGAAGGATCGTCCAACGTTAGTAGCCACGTTCCTGCTGAAAGGGGGGTTGTACCAAATGATGTCTCTATGGCGGTTCCTTCTTCCAGAGTTCGGAGACTGTGCCGTAGGAACTGAGAGCGCAAGTTTGTGGTTGTACCCGCTGTCATCGAGAGCTTTCTGATATAGAGGCGCCGCTTTGCTAAAGGAATCTTCATCTATAGAGATTTCGGACAGCCTTTTGTTAATTTTTTTTTTTTTTTTTTTTTTTTATAATAATTTTTTTTTTTTTTACAACACAAGCACTACTTACAAAATGTTACTTAACACAACTTACAGTGCTTACACTACTTACAACACCGTACTCATTACTTTTTTTACATAGAAAGAAGAAAAGAAAGTTACAATTACAATTATTGACGACTAATAACTTAAACTAAAGTGATTACTAACATAATTTACAATACTAACACTATAAACACAGTGGCAACAGAAAAGTATAAGAGGATTATATATAGATTAAGTATAAGTGTTTTTCTTTTTATTTAGAAGGATAAGTAAAGAGAACTGAACGGCCTAGACTGTAATAATAATAATACTAATAATAATAAAGCGTTACGCGGTGCACAATATCGCCCATTTTTTATAAAAGTCACTTAAAGTTCTATTTTTGGTACAAATATATTTTTCTGTTTCGAATTTAATATTAATCCTTAACTTAAACCCTGCAATAATTGGACGAGTTTGTGATCTTCTGCAATCCCATATATATAGTTTGGCTATTAGTAGAAAGTAGTTCAGTAAAGGGCATTGTACGGCTATTATACCTAATAGCACATCCTGTAGACTAAGGTTGATCAATTCATTTGACAACGAGTAATAATATAATTCAAAATCCTTCCAGAAAAGTTTTGCATATACACAGTCAAAAAGAAGGTGGATAAGGGTTTCCGGTTTATACATACAAAAGGAGCATTTATCATCGGTAATATATCCTATTTTATATAACTTAGTGTTAGTATATAATATGGAGTTAAGGACCTTGTACTGAAAGGCCTTAACATAGAATTCAGAACATATGATGTGCGGTAAAAGAAATGCTTTTTCTAGCTGATCTTCCGTCAGATTAAAATCCCGTTTTAAAGCTGAGGTATTTTTAGAAAGCTGTGCCTTTTTACTTATGAGCAATGAATAATAATCTTTTGATTTCTTCTTTAAAATATCAAAGTCGTTATTCTTAATTATCACGGAGGGTGGCATTGTTAAAAAGGTGTGATCAGATGTTCTAGGATTAGCTTTTTAAGTGGGACGGTACAGCATATCTGAGACCTGCCCATACTAAGAAATTGGTTTTTCAATCTTTCTTATAATGATACTATGTGACTCTGCAATACTTAAATCAAATCGAAGATCGGAAACCAGAAGAAAACCATTGTCGAAAAATGTTTTGTAAAAAATTGGCTTATTATTTATCCTAATGTCTTTATTATTCCAAATAATATTATACCGCATTTTATCTGTAGAAAAGTCATCACGAAAATCAGCCCACCATTGAAGTAGCTCGGAGTAAAAAGGTGATTTGATTAGAACGTCTTTTACATCGTAGTTACAATGAAATAGAAAGAGCCCCCGAAACTTTTAAGTTGATAACGCAAGTAATTCTTCCATGTGCTGTCGTTTTCGCTGAAGATTCTCTTTAGCCAGGCAAGTCTTAAAGATTTGACCATCGTTTCTAGGTCAATCATTTTCAAGCCACTTTTTTGGTAGTCATTTATTGTTGACAAACGTGTGACCTTGTCAACACCTCTCCATAGGAATTTAAATATCAATCTGTTCAATTCTTGAACCGCCCACTTTGGAATTGTTAATAATGATGCCACGTAAACAAATTTTGGAACAATCAACGATTTGATAACAGTAACCTTTCCATAAAGGGAAAGACCTCGCGCAGACCATATGTGTACCAATTTTTTCACGCTGTCTAGTCTTTCTATAAAATTTTTCTCGTGTAGTAATTTTTGATCATAGGTGTAATAGACTCCGAGAGCTTTAATTGGTTCATTTGGCCATTTAATACCAAAAGGTTTTGATTTATTTTCCTTTAATGATCCGATCCACATTGCTTCAGTTTTTGAGGGATTAACGGCTAAACCTGAAATCCTCTTAAAATCGTCTAACAACCTGAAAAGGGTTTGGGCTGAGTCGATGTCTGACAGAACCACAGTTGTGTCATCTGCGTATTGAAGTAATTTTGTTTCCTTCTTGTCAATAGTAATACCTTTTATCATTGGATTTTGTCTTATTGCGATAGCCAAGGTTTCAACAGCTACTACAAAGAGATAAGGAGAAAGAGGATCACCTTGCCTAACTCCTCGTTCGACTGTAAAGTAATCAGAGATTATGCCATTGTTGATAACACAGCTTTGTATATTTTTGTAAAAAGAAGAAACCCATCTAATAAAGCTCTGGCCAAAATTAAAAGATTCTAGACAACTTTGTAAAAAGCTGCGTTCTAAACTATCGAAAGCCTTCTGAAAATCGATAAAGATCAACAAACCAGGAATGTTTTCTTCAACAGTGAAGTTCATTATGTCAAAAATCGATCGTACTGTTTCGCCGATATAGCGGTCTTTTATAAATCCAGTTTGATTGTAATGGATGATGCTTGGTAGAACATTTTGTATTCTAGCAGCTATAACTTTAGCCATAATTTTCGCATCCACATTTACCAAAGATATCGGCCTCCAGTTTTCCAGAAAGGATCGATCTTTTCCTTTCTTTTCGATGAGCGTAATTACTGCTTGCTTTTGAGAGCGCGACATTTCACCTTTTTCGAAGCATTCGTTAGCACAGAGAATGAAAGGCTCACAAAGTAAAGGCCAAAATTTTTATAGAATTCGATGGGAATTCCATCGTTCCCTGGAGTTTTATTGTTTTGGAAACTATCCAAGATAAGTGCGCATTCTTCTGGAGTAATTTCACCTTCACAAGACATTTTTGTTCTTCTGACAGTTTAGGAATGTTTAAATCTTTTAAAAAGGATTTAATTTCGTGCAAATTTTCATTATTCATGTTCTTACTCGAGTACAATTCTTGATAAAAACGTTGTTGTTCGGACAAGATCTTTGACGGATCCGTGGTAGACGAGCCGTTGATATTTAATTTTCTCATATGTTTTTGACATGATTTCTTTTTTCTAGGTTTAAAAAGTATTTGGTGCTTTTTTTCGCCATGCTCGTGCCAGCGGGCTCGCGCTCGAATAATTATTCCTTTAACCTTTTCTTCATAAAACAATTCGAGCATATCTTTAGCACAGTTAAGAAGATTTGCATTCAAAATACTAGGATCTGTTTCGAAAGCACACTTTGCATTAGCGAGTTGTTCTTGGAGTTCCTTTTCTCTTTCACTTCTTTCTCGAGCTTTTCTTTTGGAATACTGTATAGTGTGCGCTCTTATGTTGTATTTTAACCAGTCCCAAATACTTCGACAGTTCGAAAGGTCCTTACGACCTTCAGCTAACCAGATAGGTATCCTCTCCGTGATGCCAATAACGTAGTCTTCATCATCTAAAAGGGAGCAATTCATTTTCCAGATACCTGGACCTTTGATGTCATCAGATTTGTATACAAGTTCAAGAGTAATAGCTGCATGGTCTGTTCTAATTGCCGGGAATATATCTGCTGCTTTAACTAGATCATGTAAAGAATTTGAGATCAGCCAATAGTCTAAACGACAAAAGATCGTAGGCAAATTTTGACTCCATGTAAAGCTCTTTTTCTGAGGATTCTTAACTCTCCATATATCGACGAGATCAAACTCTTCTAGTAGGTTGCTAATGGTTGATACAACAGATTTTCTTGGACTCAATTGGCCTCCTTTCTTATCCATAAGTGGATTAAGAGGGCAGTTGAAATCCCCTCCCATAATAATGTTTTCTTCTTCATCAAAATTATTATTTCGCAAAATCAGAAGTAGATTGTTGAAAAAGCTCACAATATTCGAATCTTTATTCGGAGCGTAGATGTTGATTAGAACATACATTTTGTCATTAAATTCTGCTTTTATTATAACATATTGTCCTGAGGGGTCCAACACTTTTGAGTGAATTGTGCAATCAACATCCTTTTTAACAAGAATTGCCACCCCGCGTGAATTGGAGGTCCCGTGGGCCATAATAATGTCACTCCCCCATTCATTTCTCCAACACGTCTCTGAGTCCATTTTTGAGTGGGTTTCTTGTAAGAAGATGAAATCTGCTTTTTGCTTTCGACACCAAGTAAATATCGTTCTCCTTTTCTTAAAATTTCCAATGCCCCTTACATTTAAGGAAACTAATTTGCACGTGCTAGCGCACATTTCAGTAGTAGTAAAATACCAGTAAAACTGTGATTGCAGCAGAAAACATGAGATATGATTAAAGAGCGCTCCGCTTGGTTTTTGCAATATTTAGATAAGAATAGACCGTTCCTCAAATTAGAGGAAATTAACGCGAAAAAATTTCATCAGTACATATATATTAGAATAATAGATTCTATTGCCTTTTACGTACACTACACAAAAATGGAACAAGAGGGAAAAACACGATAATACACCTACCTCGTGTTCCAGATTAATATCCATCTACTAACAACCTAGATCCTACACAGAAGAAAGCTCCTCCCCAAAAAAAAAAAAAAAAAAAACATATAATCAAAATAAAAGGTGTCCATGGAGCAAAAATCTAACAAAAGGATGATGATCTTATCTGATGTTGTTTTGATACAAAAGAGCGAATAATTAAAAATCATACATAATATTGAGAAGAAAAGAAACTTATAACTTCGCCAGAAAATATTGTAATCGCCGTTCGGCAAACTAATGAATAAAGCTCAAACTCAAAGGATTCTTTTAGAGTCAGAATTTAATATATTTACCATCGATGTAAAGTTTGTCTGGTTCAGACTTGCTAAAGTTGGCCCGTCTACGGAGATGAGGCCTCTTTAGCTCGTTTTTCTTCAGGTGACGCTTCAGTTGAGCTACAGGATGAGTTTCTGCTGTATTTTCTCTTAGGAGTAACAAAAACAGAGGAAACCTCCATAAACACCGTAGTAAGAAAAGTGGCCGACGGAGCTTCCGAAAATGCGTCTTCACTCCATGTTGCTCTCCCCAGACCGCCTTTTGTTAATGGACTTTGGGATGTTTTCGATGATGTGGGGTGGATGGTTAGATTTCTTGTTGACGTAGAGTGGAATGTTTCCTGGTTTGTTGTATGGCAAGTATTTACCGTTAGCCAGGTTAAGTGTGACGTCAAGAAAGTTTACTACTTTCTTATTGGCCTCGATAGTAATCTTCAGACCGTACTTGGCGAAAATGCTCCACAATTCCTTCTTAATAAGCTCGGCCTGCCGAGGTGATGCCTTAGTTACACCTTGACCGTCATCTCTGTACAAGCCAAAGTTACATGCGTTACCGAACCTTTCTTTGATGTTGTGGAGGAGGTAAGTGCCGACGAGTTCGCATGATTCGGCGCCATCGTAACTGCCCATGGTCACATCGAAGAGGCGGTTTGATGACGTTCTCCTGCTCCTGCTGCTGTTTGGATGATGATATAATTAGTTATATGTAATCACACCAAAGATCATACTTTTCATGGAAGCCCGCAGGTAAAATTCCGGTCTTGATTTTGTGAAATTTGACATTTATTTTCTCGGGCTCTCATAGGAAATTTTTTTTGGTATTACAGATAACTAATTACATCTTTAGCCCTTGAAAAATCTAAAAAATAATGCGATATTGTTTAAATTATCCTAGTACAAAGTTTTTGTCCACTGAAACTTAAAATTACACTATTTCCTGATGGATTCCGTCTTAAATTTGGGAGATATGATTCGAAAAGTGCATTTCAAGGCATTTTAAGTTAAAAAGGAAAGGGATTACTTTAGCTATGAAAAGAATAAGGGAGCCCACCGCTAAGAACCTGTGGACAAAAAAATGGAGAGAAGCAGCTATGAATGATTTTATCACTTGCTGGTGAAAATTGACAATTGATTATGTTACAGAAAGGAAGCAAAGTAGGGTCCTGCTGCATGTATCGTACCATAACTAAGGTAAAATTGTTCATGCTTGACAGCAAATTTATATGTGTACTCAAAAAAGTATGAATAGTATCAATATTATTACTTTGTCTTTCACTGACGTATCTTCTTCCTCAGAGGGCAGCAGTTTAACAAAGTTGTTAGGAAACATGCCAACTTTACCATTGACCTCTCCTTCCCACCAACCTTCACTATCAGGAACATCTTTGTTGAGTATAGTGATAATGTCACCTTTAAATAATTTAAGTTCATCTGGATTTTCAGGGTCATAAGAAAACATAACTTTGGCTCTTTCACTGGGCTTCTTGCCTGAAAGTGGTTTTAAAAACACGTTTTGAAATTTGTACTTGTACAATGTACAAGTATTTAATTAGGTGAATTAACCGAGAGGGGAGAAACAGTGTATTAAAGCGGAGCTCCACGTCGCGAGCTCGAGCGGAGCTCCATACATAAGAAAATTTGGTACAGTAAAAGCCCGCATATAAGAACCTAGATTTTTCCAACTTAGCCTAAATAGGTTCTTATAAAAATAGTATTTAATGGGAATTTAGGATACTTAGGTTCTTAACATAGGTTCTTAATTTGATAGGGGCACAGGGCATTTGTGATATGGAATATATTGCTGTATTAAATAATTATCTAGAATACAGTTTAGATGATAAGCATACAGTAAATCTATCTTTCCAAAGTACTAGCGTGCACGTCTTTCATGCTGAAGTGTCCATAAAATGCTGTGTTACTTTGCTTTGTGAATCTTACCGGTACTTACTGAAACCTAGACTAAAACTTTTATCTGTATTTTCACCTCCGCCTTCACTTTTGAAAAATAATAACCTGTTGAAAATTTTAGGCTAAATGGGTTCTTATGAAAAGGGGGTTTAATTGAAAATTTTAGTTTAACAGGTTCTTATATATCCATCCATCCGAGAAATTTTAGTAATCACGTGACCGTACGCCCGAACAGACTCTAGGGGTAGAGGTAAAAAACTGAGTAGGATAGGGAATCCAAGGCAAAATTTTAAACTATTTTGGGGGCAACTTGCTCGAGTGAAAAATCAAGATTGATGTTTCTTGTCCTTTCAGCCATGCTATCACCTTTTAAAATGGCAGAGTGATTTCTTTGACAAACAATGCCAGAAAACGGTGGCGCGAACATTGCAATGGGTTCTCGATTGTGATTGGCTGCTTGTAATTATCGAATGACTGTTTGATCTCCTCTTTCCATTGGCTTATTTAAGTGGGCTAAAAGATACTTTAGCCCGCAAAATGCGCCACCATGCCTGACAAAGTTATAATAATATAGTAATATTAGCTAGAGCTTTGACATCAATTTCAATGCCTCTAAAGGTAAGAATACTCACTTGGTGATTTTTTAAGTTCATCTAAGTTGACTGGTAGCACAGGTACACCTTTCTTGGCTGCTACAGGTGCAACAGGAGCCTGGAAAAAACAATCACTAAAATCAATAATTATGATCAATAACAACAACAAGAAAACTGTTGGAATTAAGAATACAGTTGAACCTCCTTGAGCACCCAGCTGCTGTGGAAACTACGAATATTCCAGCGCCTGTTTTCTTTTTTGCTCTGCCCAAGTATTTACAGTGTGAGCTGGAGCGGGTCCAAAAGAGGGCATTGTCAATCATTTGCATATGGAGGTTTGCTTATATTCCTCCTTTTTTTGTGAATTGTACCAGTGTTCTGCAGAAAAGTTACAGTAGGAAGAGGAAAAACAACAACAACAAAATAAAATTAACATAAGTATGACACAGCTCATCATTTACGGTTAGCTCCCTTCCACTGGGAGATTCCATGGGAAATTTTGAAGACAGAATCCACAAATGAGGAAATTGAGTAATTTCAATTTAAGTGGACAAAAACCTAGCCTGCTTCACAGCCGTTTTTAGTGTCGTCACATAACGCTCCTCTCCACAAACGGCTTCTGAGAATCGAATTATATTCCTTTCCCTTTGTGTTTGTGGTCCAACGAACAAACCAATCATATATAAGAAAATCGACAATACGTGAGTCGCAAGGCGCTAGGTCAAACAGTCATCTCTGAATTTGGAGGGGCTCTGTGTCTGCAAGCAACGAAAAGGTTAATTTGGAGAAAAAGTTTGTTTTAAGGGGTTAACAAAGTTCCACGTGAAAAAAGGTTTGATAGGCCATTAAGACTCTTACCAGGATCAGTTGGTTCTTTTTAACGTGCATATGTATGCATGATGAATTTCACGTGCCGGGTGTGCTTAATGTGTTGCTGCACATGTGAAGGGTACTGATTCAAATTATTGATGAGCGATTTCCGAAACTTTAGCCGGCAACTTTATAAGCAAATACATTTTGTGCATCACATTTGCTCCACTTGAATGCTGCTGATGCTTATCTCACGAATTTTGAATAGAACAACACTACTCTAGCTGATTGCTTGTTTTCACGCGACGATTTTGATTGTCATTCACACATGGGGCACCGATAAAAGCAAAGCTTTGATTGGAAGCGCAAACGTGGCGCGAACATCTTCTAGAAAACGGGAGCTGAATTCTAATTGGTTAAGCGCTAGACAGGAATGTGTTTCTGTATTGTCGGCAACCGTTTGTGGGGAGGAGCGTTGAGTGACGACACTAAAAACGGCTGTGTAGCAGACTAACATTTACAAAAACCTTGTACCAGAATAATCCAAACAATATCGCATTCTTTTTTACATTTTTCACGGACTATAGATATATTTAGTTATCTGTCATAAGACCAAAAACTATTTCTCATGGGAGCCCGAGAAAATAAATGTCAAATTTCACAAGAATTGTGAAAACACAGGTAACATTCTGAAAATTTCATGCGTAAGATGTCATTTTGTGAAATTTGACATTTATTTTCTCGGACTGTCAAAAGAAATTTTCTTTGGTGTTATTACAGATAGCTAATTACATCTATAGCCCTTGAAAAATGTAAAAAAGAATGCGATATTGTTTAAATTATTCTGGTACAAGGTCTTTGTCCACTGAAAATTAAAATTACTCAATTTCCTGATGGATTCCGTCTTAAATTTGGGAGATCTGATGTGAAAAGTGCATTTCAAGGCATTTTAAGTGAAAAAGGAAAGGGATTACTTTAGCTATGAAAAGAATAAGGGAGCCCACCGCTAAGAACCAGTGGACAAAAAAATGGAGAGAAGCAACTATGAAGGATTTTATCACTTGCTGGTGAAAATTGACAATTGATTATGTTTACAGAAAGGAAGCAAAATAAGGTCCTGTTGCAGGTATCGTACCATAACTAAGGTAAAATTGTTCATGCTTGACAGCAAATTTATATGTGTACTCAAAAAAGTATGAATAGTATCAATATTATTACTTTGTCTTTCACTGACGTATCTTCTTCCTCAGAGGGCAGCAGTTTAACAAAGTTGTTAGGAAACATACCAACTTTACCATTGACCTCTCCTTCCCACCAACCTTCACTATCAGGACCATCTTTGTTGAGTATAGTGATAATGTCACCTTTAACTAATTTAAGTTCATCTGGATTTTCAGGTTCATAAGGAAACATAACTTTGGCTCTTTCACTGGGCTTCTTGCCTGAAAATGGTTTTAAAAACACGTTTTGAAATTTGTACATGTACAATGTACAAGTATTTAATTATGTGAATAAACCAAGAGGGGAGAAACAGGGGTAAAAGAAAGTAAGTAGGGTAGGGAATGCCAGATAGAATTAACCATTTTAGAGTTAACTTGCTCAAGTGAAAAATCAAGATGTTTGTTGTCTTGGACTGACGAAAAAAATTTTACGAAAAAATATTATATTCTTTTTGCTTGATCACGCTTTTGGTCACGCTCCAGGAGCAATGTGCCCGTCCTAAAATTAAAACTGAGCGTTTCATGTCTGCCTTTGTAAATAGATTAATATTTAAACGCAACCTTAGTACAGGATAGTTAGGATTCTATGATTAGCTTTTTTTTTTATATTTTTTTACGGTAATCATTAACAGTTGTAACATAGGATATGTATCTTTATCTTGTGTAAAATAAAGACCTATTATTATTATTAGTATTATTATTATTATTACTAACTACCAATGTAATAAATATCAGCCACTAATGTAACAAAAAGTTAACCACCAATGTAATAATTTTTTAACCTTTGATGCAATAAAAAAATTAACCAGTAATATAACAACTTTGCGACCATTAATGTAACAAACTCAAAGAGAAGAGTCACATGGTGCCGTCTGATTTGCAACAAATCTGACACCATCTAACATAAGAATCTCTGCGGTGCTACAGAGTATGTGGGCAAAGGACGTGTGACCAATACGATATAGCAGCATTCTTACTTCTGGCACGTGTACCAACTTGTTCTATTATACCAAAAAAAACACAGATTTTTTAAACAACTGAAACATCATATCACAGAAAGGTAACCTTTGTTTTTGTCCAAGTTCATTAGTAGAATGCTTGCAACTGTTTCAAAAAGCGTTCTGTGCAAGAAGCCTGAAGCGCATACACCTATAACGTTTAAACATACTAAGGACCGCTTATATTACAATGCTTGGGTTCACCGCGGACCATAACTTCATAATAACAGTCATAAAAATGATAATAATAATAGTAATAGTAATGGTAATAATAATAATAATAATAATAATAATAATAATAATAATTACAGTTGAAAATAAATTGTGCTATTTGCTATTTCGCTATCTAAATGATTACCCAGTAAAACAGTTACTATTCGTTGTATTATCGGCAGAAGGGTATACTGAAAGAAAATTTTCAACAACCTTTGCTAGAATCGGTTGAAGACTACATGACTTACTTGAGGTTTTTTTTACCAGTAATAAGAGCCAGCACCTCCCAAGCATAGAAATAACGCCTTCCACTTTTCGCTGGGGTAGGGGGTAGGGTCTCTCGGGTAGGGTCTCTCGGGTAGGGCAAAAGCCCAATCACGTTTTTTGTTTGGGTTGTATTCTTAAGGTTCTAGACAAAATGGATAATGTATGAATTTTTATCACTTGAAAGTAACAAAACGCGTCGATTGTTGCATATATGCCTCATAAAAGCAAAGTTAAGGTTCGGCCAAGCTGCCTAGTGGCAGTTATTCTCGCAGGCATCCATGTTTAACATGTTTACTGCTTTGGATGGTGTATTACTTGTGGAAGGCTATGTTGTATTTGGATCGGAGTTGTAAATCCGATGGCGTGTAAATGCATGATAAACTGGCGAATCAGAGACCGTTAATGCTTGTGTTTGAGGTCCCTGAGGAGGTTTTGCCCTGAGTTTAACAAAATCCTTAATTTTTTTATCATTCCCCCCTACTGACACAACAGCACAATTTCTTTGAAAGTGTAAACCCCTCACCTTTTTACTCTTCCTTTTTTTTCGAAGAAAAGGTATCCATCTCATGCAAACGATTTCAGTGTAAAAAAATGTTTGATGCCCCTTTTGGGCAGAGCCCTGCTATGTAGAGAACTGTACGGAGTCTCCTCTGTTTACAAGGTCACTCAACATTGTCACTTTCAGACTGGTTGTTAAAACTTCCCCGTAAGAGTTAACGTTTTGCAGCATTTTTGAACCCCTGTGCCTTTGGCAATCAAATCTTCGGTACAGAACAAGTCCTGGACGACTTATTTCGTTGAAACAGCAATGCCTGACATCAAAGCAGGAGGTCGTATGATTTTTTATAAATCCTAATAACTCTAAATAGCCAATCAGCTGTTTTCTCTGAGTTTGTTATATTAATAGTCGCAAAGTTATTTCGTTAGTGGTTAAGTTTCTTATTATGCCGAATTATGCCTAACTATTAACGCCGGTTATAACCCAAGTCTGGAATTTGTCGCTGTCAACTCTCCCCTGGCCGGACTCCTGGAAGAAGGCGAACATCAACGCCCTACCAAAGATCGACATCCCCAAAGAGGATTCGGACTACCGAGGCATCAACGTCACGTCCGTGATCGCAAGAACATTCGAAAAAGTTGTGTACCAAACCCATGTCAAAGCGATTGTAGAAAATAGCCTTAGCCCCACCCAGTTTGCATACAGGCAAGGGCGGGTAACTGCACAAACGCCTTATTATCTATTCAACACCATATATATAGACTCCTAGACAACAGTGACTGTAATGCAGTTCGTTTGTTTACGATGATTTTAGCAAAGCGTTTGATTCCGTAAATCATAGCAAGTTATCAGCTAAACTTAAGCAGCTTCCCTCAATCCTTACATCGTTAATT